ATTTTCTGGGGCTTGATCACACGACAGAATCATAATTAATATACAATTTATTCATACGCTATGCAATCAGGCCGTGCTGGATTTGTATATTTTTGCAAAATTGACATCTCGGCTAGATGACGGCTGACGGTTTCCGGTTTTACTGCGTTCTTGTAATATTTTTGGTTTTGCTTAAGCGTGACCCGCCGACTGTTCCCAGAGAGAGAGCGAGCAATCGAAGGGGCATATTATCGGTTAGAACGTGGCACACTAGCTGTAGTGCAATTTCGGACCGAGGACGATGTAAAGGGACGGAGACCATAAATTATCCAAGGGGCAAATACCGAAAATCAATAATTGAAAAGTACCGACTTCGGGCCATGATATTATTATAAACAGCGACGTTATCCGATGCCCGTGTACCCTCCCTTAAGCAAGAATCAAACCAAAAAATCGGCACCGTATCAATACAATAACATTATATTATATTGTTATGTACCGTATAGGCCCACATAACAGTATTATGTACAAACTCCTTTCTGTACTAAACCGAAGTCTTGATTTCACTCAGTCGTTCTTCCGCCGATAATCTTCTACACAAAATAATTAACACGCAATTTATTGTATACTTTAATAAAGAATCGCCGAGTTTTAATGGTTATTAATGTTGAAAGCTCAAACGAAATTTGTTTGAAAAAAAAAATATATTATAATACTATGTCAACAACAAGTTAACTTGTTACAATTAGAAGTATGCATGCCCCGAGGACCGATTTAGGATTTCGAAAGACAAAAACATTAAGACAACGTCTTTATACGATCATGTTTTAAAACATTTATATTATGCGTTTATTTATTAATTACAACAAAGTAGTCAAACAAAAGAAAATCCCAAATTAAAATTGTACGGCTAACTATTGGCGATAAACGATTCAAGTTCGTTACAGTTCGATTTACTAGAACTTGCCTCAGAATCATTCAGAACATTTTTTTATTTTAACATTGAAATAAACATGGATAGTATCGGGTTTTTCTGTGTGGAAAATATATAGGACTTAATGAAAAAGTTCTTTGGCTAATACCGGATTTCTAATATAATACATTTGTTATCTTTAATTATAAATTGTGCGACCCAAACACTTAGAATAATACAATGTGAGACACATACAAAAATTCATGTGCTAAAAATTAGTTTATTATATTGACACGCAAAAGTTGTACTTAATTTTTTTTTTAATACATTTTATTTAACAGCACGCGACGGCCACAGGTCCCACGGGAAATTTGGATGATATTATTATATCAGCTATTACGTGTCATATACACTAATGTTAATGAAACAATGCATGTCGATATGAACGCGTTGGGTCTGAACTAGGTCATATTATTTTACTTATTTTAACTTATTTTTTTCTTTTCAGTGTCTTTTGTGCGCTATAATCCAACACATATATATGCACTACAGCAGTAGTCGTTAAGCAGTCAATAACTCAGCCCAATCCGAGAAGGTTAAAACGTACCTATCCGCGTGCAATGACAACATTAAAAGCAAGCACATTCAAATTGGTCGAATGTCGTCAACGCTGGGATGAAGTAGAACATTTTGAAGAAATCCATTGATACCAACAGAGAGTACAACGACTAACAACGATTACAATAAATGGTGTGCCGCCGAGACCGAACCTAAGAAAAAAAGAGACTTGAAACAACACCAACCAATGAGAATATAACAATATGATTTTTCATTATGTTTAAAACCAATGTAAAACACGTTGGGATTAATAGGTGTATCGAATAAATATACCTCGTTTACAGACTGCTATTTATTTTTTGCCAGACAAAGAAAAACTAACCCCCCCCCCCTATTCGTCAATTATTTATGTATCTTATACTAGAATTTATATTTTACTGTTTACAGAAAATGTAAATAAGTACTTTCAAAACATTAAATTGTTGTGGTCGTTAAAAAAAGAGCGTTAACAAATTCGAATATCTTAACTTTCAATTACACGCGGATTACTATACCTGTTTGTAATAAAAATAAATAATAATAAATTTATACTTTGCTATTTTCTTATCCAGTATGCAAGAGTTATAAAATTTACAAAACCGTATTGTTTTCCTTTGCGTAGATCCAAGATCATTTTCAATAAATATTTTATAAAAAAATATATTATGATAAAACTACTAATTCCATAACGGCCTTAGTAAAAACAATATCAAAATCGAATGGTTTTCCTTGCTATTATAATATAGTGTCTGTGTCACGATAAAAGTATACAAGTGCAATCGGATATCCATGCGAAGGTATTTCATTGTTTTTTTTTTTGTATTTATTCTATTAAAATAGAAATTCCCTAAGACCGTGTAAAATAACCGGTAAACCGTATTGAATTACGGAATGTAAAAAATGTATATTCGTTTATCGACAAGTATTATTAGTACCTATAGGGGTATACGCAGGTACGCCACGACCGGTGATAGCCATCAACAAAATTATATATATATATATATATATATATATATATACATATAATACACAAACGTATAATTTTTTTTATATGTAAAAAGCGACAAACGTTTAAAATTACATTTGCCGCTGATCGACAGGGTGTGTTTAAAGTGAGAAATATATGGAATTTCAAAAGAAATTTGGTCTTAACGTTTGACAAGTGACACGAGTAAGCCATACTTACTATTATGACTTTATTGGACACGAGGCGGCGCCCGTTAAAATTCCATGTTCTACCCCGACAAACGGAAAATATGTCAATAATGTGTACCGGTTGGTCAATATAGCGCCCATGAACTTTTACCGAGGTCGATTGCGAAACGTACAAGACGTTTTTTTAACGTTGAACAAACAACAAAAACCAAAAAGAAAATTATGCTGGACTCGGATCGATAGCGATATTTGTGTAACGCCGGCAATGCAGTTATAGATTAGGTCAAGTCTTCATAACGTTACTAACACGAATAATAAGTTTAAAGAAAATGTATGTACTAGGATTGAACTTCAAGAGTAATTGTTTTTATTATTATTATATGCGTAAAAAGTTTCGGCTTTTTCGACTTTATCTTTACACCAACACTGCCGTCCAACTTATTTCCAGACGGCCAAAGGCGGAACAACATAAATAGGGATAACATGTCCGTACCAATCCCAATACTAGATTAGCCTAAACGTTGTTGAAAAACGATAATAATGCGAACAGCGAACATAATCCCAAACGCTCTTATGGGCAAAACTATATTATGTTTTTCAGCTCCAACACATACGACCAAGCGCTACATTTAATGACCGACAATAATTTCTGAAACATCTAAAACAATTTTACATTAATGATACAACAAGACCACTAACAACAGATGTTGCTTTCCGAGCTTATTATAGTGTAAATTCCTGAGATAATTGTGCGCCATTACCACGACTACAGTGCGTTTAACAGGAATTGCGTTAAAAAAGCGTACACATTTTACACAGCAATCGTCGTCAAAAGGCTTAGGAAATTAAAACGCATAAACTCTAGAACGTTCGACGGCTCTCCGTACAGGCAAAAAGAACAATCGTTGGAAAACAACAATGCAGCCGGCACCTGTTGTATACATTTACGACACATAACAATAATTATTATTATATTATTAGAACGTTTTGGGTCTGCGTATAATGTGGCATTTTGCGGACGGCCGACAATAATATAATGGCAACGATAATGATGATCATGATGATTATAATATAGGAAGACACCAACAATAACCCGTTAATGAGAGGGGATTTGACGATTTACCGGATGGGTTCCGTCGACATATAGGCTGTCTACAATACGTAGATGCAACAATATAGCACGATTGTCGACCGACAACAACGAAAAACAGTCAAAAGCAGTTGCAGAACAAAACCGTGTGGGGAAAATCACAAAATCCCACAATGAGTCGACCCAAAGTTATAAACCGATAAAATCACTGTTTTTATTAAATCCGCTCTTTGGTTAAAACTTTTGTGTGGGGATTGTTATGTAATATTATTCACGAACTTTCACCAAGAACACAGCCCTAAAGATAGGAGATGCAAGGCTAACTAAAAGTTGGAGATAAAGTCTAAATGTAAAATATATGGGCAAATATATATATATACGATATAATAATATTATAGTAAGTATGGTTCATCAAGTTAATATGAAATATGTTATAATATCAAGTTAAATGAAGATAAGAGCCTTTATTTTTAATAATATTAATTTATAATATAAAGTTAATATATTTAAGCTTCGATGGGAAGCTAAGATAAGTTATTGATTTTACAAGAATATGAGTATTATGTGTCTGTATGCACGGAAAAGTATTTTAAATTAACCAAACAAATAAAAACAATTATTTGCAAATGCAACAGTTATTATAACTCAAAATCGTTTTTTTTTTTAAATTAAAGTGTAAACAGTAAAATTAAATACCTTTTTGTTAAAAATACATATAAATCGAATATTATTTGAAACCGTAAATACAAATGTATTTCAAAAACAAATTGATTTGATACAGTAATAACAAAAAAAGTATTCGACGCGTTCATAAAAAATGTATTTCAATTAAGTCAATATTATTCAAACGACTATTTATTTTGTGTTCGATTAAAAAAAGCGCCCAGATTTGATTGCAGCGCACACATTAGTTTTCAAACATTGCGAACCAATTCATTAAATCAAGGGGGGGAAATCGACATTATTTTTTTTTTTTTTTACGAAACTAATAAATAGTAAGCTGAGTAATCTTAATAAAAAAAAACTTGGACGACGTTAAAAATAATATCGGGCAGCTAACAGCAGTATATAATAATATTTTTTTATTGTTAATACAATTAATTGGATTGGCTTGCGATCCGACCGGCGGCCGCTTGGACGAGCCGGACGGGAGGCGGCGCCGGCCGTCGAGTAGTGGCAACAGTGCGTGTGCAAGCGAGTGAGGCTGTCGGGGGTGCGTGAGTACCGCGCGCGCCTAGCCGGCACCACTTATAAAGAGGTTGCCCGACGTGTGCGCAGCCTTACACAAGTACCACGCGCAAACCTGGTCACAAGTTTTTTTTGCCGACTCCGTCCCAGAACGGCATAATACACACAAGTCAGTGAGTGGCGATACACCGCGATAAATACGATCATTTTTTTGTACGGTTTACAAAAAAATTAAAAAATACAATCCGGCGCGTGTTGATATTTTTATTACACCAAACGAAGATTTCGACGCAAACTTAGTCAGGTAAAAAAAATAATATTCATGTTTATACATGACCTTATACGTTTTTTTTAAATATTTAATCCTATAGTCGCAAAAGTATAACAGTATACGAGAAACACGGAAATCTAAATATTGTTTTTATTTATTATTAATCTAAGAACAAGAGTAATACGTGTTACTTACTTTTAAATATGTTTTTTTTTTTTGTAAATTAATTGAAGAGTTCGAACTCGTTGGCTAAGCGAATATAAAAAAAAAGCTTACGGTTCATTTTTTGTTCTTAAATTATAACTTTTGTTAATTCTTAAACAGTAAAAATGTATTTGAGAATTCAAGCCAGGTTTTCAAACGTTCATATTTTGTACTTGTACTTTTAAAAAAAAAACATAATTTTCAACTAAGTATCGAGGAGAATTATTTTAATAAAACATAAAATACAATACGCATGTAAAATTGAGCACATTTAATTGGGATAACACCGAGTGCATATTCTTCGTGTATTTAATCATATATAATTTTAAAAATTGTTCAAATTAAAGTACCGATAAAGTTATGTTGTAAGTAATACACAATCTCGCATTTTTAATACCATAAGATCATTTAATTTCCATATTAAAAACCAACGCATGTTTGACGCTTATAACTATACGATAACATAATAACTACAATAATTTAAACGAAAAACGCTCAATTTGCTGATGACATATTTGAAGAAAATAAATGTTGTAACTATAAGTTTTTTTTTAATGGCAGCTATACTGTTTAAGTATTACTATAAACCATACAATTAATTAATAATACTTTTCACAATAATCTCTGTCGTAGTATTTTCATTAATTAAATTATTTGTAATATAATTAGTATATATAGCATAGAAGTATTCTTTTTTTTTTTTTGCTCTAATTTCTTTTAGCTTAATGAAAATTGTACGTGATTAAAGTAATAATTTAATAGACATATTTTAGTTTTTTAATATAAGAATAAAAAAATGTCATTTAATTTAATTTAGAGTTGAACATAATAGTTGGGCGATAACATTTTTTTTTTATAAGTAAATTTATTTATAACAATTATATACATTTGCCTAATATAAAAATAGAAAATTATTCTACAATTAAGTTAGGCTATACGCAATGGAAAACAATACTACAAGTTTGAAAACTAACTCATGGTTACTTGAAAATTAGCTTAAAATAACTATAAAAATACTAAATATGTTGATAATATATTTGTATTTTTTGATATCTACTTTGTGCTTTATTTGTAAATATTTATTTAGACATTATTCATTATATTATGTTCGTGCTGTTTTTGTTGAAAAGTATCATCAACTACTATAACTAAAATTACCACGTTTAAAAATAAAGTTCTCTTCAATTTATATTAAAAACAATAAAATTTAAATAAAACAACCTCAACCCAATTCCTGTAATTAAAGAACTAACTACGCCTTTTTAATTAAGTTCAAAAACCTTAATAATTTTCTGTTTTTTTATTAGTTTACTATTCCAGTGCCACACGCTTTTGTTGTAATTATCCAATTAATTATCATGGAAGTCCTCTGGTACATGAAAAGTAAATAAATAAAACGAAGGATAATTTACGGATCATAAATAATACATAAACAACCTAGAGTACGCGTTATCTCTGTTAGATCTTTTTAAAATATTTTTATATTTTTCGCTATTGATCATAATTTTATAACTGGACATAAAAAATCTAACAACAATTATTACCCAATTGCACAAATAATAATTAACGATTGGTTAATTATTGTTTATTAGACAGTAATAGGGAATTTGTAATACATAACACGAGATGGGTAAATTATTAAACTTTGTGTATTGAATTTTGGATAGCTATATTGCATGTATGTATGTGTTCTAATATCAATAGTTTCACTATGCGTATTTTACTTAGCTGGTTAAATTGTTTTTGTTTCATTTGACTTTCAGAATGAAAACTGTGATATTGTCATTATGCTTGTTCGGAGCGCTCTTTTGGAGCACTCAATCCATGCCTGTCGGCGAGGTTGCTCCTGTCGCACCTGCCGTGCCATCCGAAACCGTCGTTGAATCCCAAAAGCCAGTACCGTCGGCACCAAAGTCGGAAAACGTAGCCGAGGTTCCGGCCAGCGACGCTAAGCCCGCTGCCGAGGCCAAGCCCGCGACCGAAGCCAAGGCCGAGAGCGCGCCGAAACCCGCTAGCGAAGAGAAGCCGGCCCCAGTGGCGGCAGCAGCCACCGAGCCGAAACCGGAAACCGATGCCAAAGCCGCGTCAGAGTCGAAACCGGCAAACGAAGCCGCCGCACCGACTCCGGTCGCCGCAGAAAGCGCCAAGTCCGAAAAAATCGTCGCACCCGAAAGCGAACCGATCAAGCCGAGCACGTCCGACGCTAAATCAGAAATTGCTCCTGCATCCGAGACGAAACCCGAAGAAGCCAAACCATCCACTGAGACCAAGGCCGAACAACCAGCCGACAACAAGCCCGCCGCCAGCAGCGAAGTCCCGGTAGCTTTACCACTCAACCCGACCGAAGCTAAGGACACCAAAACCGCCGAAAAACCCGAACAAGCTTCTGCTGCAATCTTGGCCGACCCTGTCCCAGCTGCCGCCACTGCTCCAGTTCCCGCAGTCGCCGAAGAACCCAAACCTTCCGAAAGCGTCCCGTTGTCCGACGCCAAGGCCCTCGAACATAACGCCGCACCAGTTGAACCAGAATCGGCTAAACCCGTAGAAGACGCCGTCCCGGCCGCCAGCGAAGTGTCCGAAGCCAAAGTACCAAGCCCAGCAGTGCCGGCCGCCGACGCACCCGCAGCCGCTTCATCAGAAGTCGAAAAAATCGCCCAACCCGCCAAGGAATCCAGCCCGGCTGCCGTAGAACCGGAAAACAAGCCAGTTGAAAACAGCCCGAAATCCGAAGCCGTGCAAGCCGCCGAGAAACCCAAGGAAGAGGCAAAACCCGCCGAAGAGTCTAAGCCCGCTGAACAACCCAAATCCGAAGTGCAACCGGAAGCCGCCAAGGCAAAGGAACAGAAACCGGCAACGGAAGAGAAGAAACCCGAATCGGCCGCCAGTGATGACAAGAAGGAACACTCCGTGATCAAGCGGGACGCGCTCAAGGAAAAGAAATCCACCGAACCGGTCAAGAAGGACGAAAAGAAACAAAAACAAAAGAAAGCTAACTAAGTAATCAAAATGACAAGACTGAATAGCAACATGAAAACGAATCATCCACCAAACGGTCAAGCGAATACGTCAAAAACAAAAACTACATTTGACATCATAAATTTTTTTAAAAACTAAACAGTTCACAAACATAACGGTTGGGCCACATCGAAAGAATAACGACAAAACAATTTACTTAGTTTATTACGATTAGGATTAATTTGATAAAAAAAAACTCATACATTTTTATCTTTCTTTTTTTATAGTTCATATACAAATAATTCTTTATATGGATTATTGTAGTGAAATCATCAACTAGGCATTGCTATTTATTCAGTCATTTTTTTCTGTGTGATATCATATTAATATATTATTTTAAATAGTATATTATAAACATATAAATATAGGCTACCCTATTTATAATAATTTATATGAACAAAAACATGAATACTATGCTAGTTTTTAAGTGTGTCTACTTAGCTTTAGGTTGTTAAATAATAATATACATATATATATATATAATTTATATATATATATATTATGACTATTTACATATATTATATTATGTACCTAATTTATTTGATATTGACAAAACTGTCGTCGTTCGCGAACAATAGTATATTATTATACATAAAATAATATAAAATATTATTTATTATACGGTTTCTTAAAATTGTCTACAACTTTGTTTATTATTTATGTTTTGTATTGTTTCACAATAATTCTCCTTAAATTGCTAGTCTTCTGGAGTTGTCTACGCGGATACTGTATGGACGGATAACTGTATTGTAAACCGCGCTATAATTCGATATTTAAAATAATAATATGAATGAAATATACTACGACTATGAGAAGGCGTTTTGAATAGGCAATTTAGGTACATTCGTGTCGGCGAGAAAATTAATTGCCCGAACTGAATAAATTTGTATTATGTAGAAAAAATGTCATTTAGGGCGTGGTTAGAGATAGCAAAAATCGTATCTACCGCCGTCGTCGCACGGCTGACGTTAATAAATTGTTTTTTATTGTTGTGTCGGTTCCACATAGATATTTAGATAACCGTCGTCGTACACACAAAAACCGTAAAGTTATTCGAATCTATTAACGACCTAGGACGGAGAAAAAAAAAATAATAACCGACACTATTGAATTTCACTCTGTACCTCTGCAACGGTAAATTTTAATAATGATGTCTTATATGCTCAGGCCTCATAAAAAAAAATAACGTTTTATCAATATGCACAAGGTTATTACAACAACGAACAGGTGTTAGTTATTACGTTTATCCTATACCAATAAAATGTTTAAAAATCAATATATAATTTTTTAAGTGGAATTTTTACCAAGACAGATCGTTTGAGTTATTAGCTTCGATAGCATAGCATAGAAGGTATTATTTTTAATTTGACAATCTCACTGTTTTACTATTTAACATAAGCCCGCGAACTTTGTAGGAATAACTCATAAGGTACGTGTGACAGAACATAAGCAATTTTCTAGATTATCATAAAAAAAAAAAAAATGAAAGACTAGCAAAAGGATATGAGTACAAGGTATAATCAGTTTTGAAAGGATTCTAACGCTTTTTGGCGCCGTTCAAATGATAAAATAAACACACTGTCGGGCAGACAAAAATCGTTATTTTTTTTAGCTTCGACACGAAGCCGAGAGGGCATTAATTTTACAATGGTGTATTTTTTTATTACATATACTTTTACCGTTAGACGTTTTTGCAGTATTGGGAATAATATACATCTATATTACATTATATTATACAGATTTTAATATTAACATAATAAAAGTATAGCAATACGACTATTTAGTACATTTATATATTATATACCGTGTTCGTAGTAGGAGTCATATTGATAAAATTAATAAATTATTTTATTAAGTATTTCGATGTTATATTATATTATTTTATGTATATAGCTGTAAAATGACTGAAAACGGCCGTCGGACCAATATGCCGCCGTCTCTGCGCCGTACTCGGAGGTCAAACGGACCGGTTTTAAAATTGGACTTCAAGTTCAGAACTGGTTATTCACCTCTTGTAGGGTCGCCGCCGCCGTCTCTGTCGCTGTCGCGTTTTCTTCATGGAATTTTGTGCATATGGTTACACACTAACTAATACACACTAAACCATATCCACTACACCATAAGTCTCCTGGGGTTTGCCAACCGCCGAGCGACGCAGCGGGACCGTATTACTCTGTGGTCAATTTTTAACGCTGCTCTTACTGTTTTTTTTTTTTAATTTTGACAACCGATTCCAAATTGAATTCACACAGTCACCGTGACCGACTATAAACAACCACGCCACGCCGTCGACCAAAGCCGTCCAAAAAGTTACGCACGGCAATAGGTTAAGATTTCCGTTGCAAAATTGTTCAAATAGGTATTGTCCACTGTATTTGGCGCAGGCGACAATAAGTCCAACTATGAAAATCAATCCTAATAGAAAATATCCAACATAGTCCAAATTGAGACATTGTCCAACCCTACATAAGTGTATTTAAGCATTGTCAACAATTAAAAAAAAATTATAGCGCAAACAATAAAACTATTTTAAATTTACTTTTTTTTTTTATGGCAGGAGATAGTTTTGGCGATAAAGAATTTCAATGGATCGTAAAGCCGGGAATAAAATTATACATTGAATTTGTTTTTTATCATACAAGGGGAAAAAGGGGGTAAGAACATTTATAAAAACGCACGCGAGGGTCAAAATGACAGAAAAATATACGGCTTGGTAAATAACTTATACACATAAAATATTTCCATTCGGATTATTATAAGCTTTAAACAATAGGTAGGCTTTAAAGAATATTTGAATTGTAACCTTATTCTTACAGTTCGATTCATTCTAAAACTACATACTTGATATGAAGATTGAATTTTAAACAATTATTTTATATTTATATTAAATTATTATAAATGGTAAAATACAAACACAAGAAATTATTATATTTATGCTTCAAGTTAAAAAATATGAAATTTACCTAAATAAAAAAAGAAGATCCTGAAAGTTTAACTCTTTACTTCAATATTAAGGGACGCCGGTGAATTTCTGTTTTTTCGTAAAATACGATTATATAATTTTTTTACCTTGGTTTTTACGATTTTTGTGATGATTAAACAAAAAATTAAATAATAAACAAATAAATCTGGTATTAGATGATTTTTACTCAAATATTTTCAGGTTCGAATGATAGATTATTCAGCTTGGCCTCGGAAAAATGTAACCTCGACATAAATGTAAAAAATTATAAATAAGCCTGAAAAAAAACAAATTAAAAATTAAGACAGTAACAAAAATAATTGTATGTCAGCTTAGATGTATTGCTCAGTGTACATTTTTCATTTTCAACCTTCTTTTTCAATGCTTTTCCACGATACGACTTTTACGATTTATTTGTCTGTTATTAAATTTATTTTTAATCGTCACAAAAACCATATAAATCAAGGTCAAAAATCATTAAAATCAAATATTATTAAAAAAAAACAAAAAAAATGCGCGGGCACCTTTAGTATTGAAACAATTCATTAGATATTTCAGGATCTTTTTTTTTTGAGGTCAACTTTTTATTCTTAAATTTGAAGCAAACCTCAATTATAATTTATAAACTTACAACGTTTCCAGTAATAATAAAAAGAATACAACATATAAAGTTGGAGCATAAACATCAAATTTTAAAATGACCAGTTTATAATTTCTAGATTGGCAATTTATAAAAAATATTTTTTAGGAAACATACTCAACTTGGAAAATATTTTCATTTGGACATTTGTCTTTCATACCATTTATAGTGGGAACTTTTATACCCTGGATCAAATACATATTAATACATTGTAGACATTTATTTACTTATATTTTTCAATTGAACATTTTAGAATGGACATTGGCGCGTACTTGACAATTGCTTTGGAGTTTGGTACATCCACTAATCTCATAATATAACGTAATGGTCCAACAATGGTCGTACATAATTTAGAAATAGATTTAAGATAAGCATTAAATACCTACCTACTAGACAGTAAATGGAAAAAAATATTTTACTTAAGACGGTCAATAGTTCAAAACATCATAACGAAAAACACGTTTTTTTTTTAAAGCCCTTCTAAATATATATTCAATCTTACACACATTTAGTAAAAAATATAATACTACTAGTTGTTTTACTCAAAATATATACACCTGAAGGAAAACCAAATAAACAATACAACTGCTGTGGTGAGACATACCAATCCTTTTTTGTTTAACCAAAACAAAAACGGTAATACTAACAACTTAGAATCAATAATAATATTCTATAAAACACTTTTTTCCAAAACTTCATAATTGTCATTTTGTAGTTAATTTTTATGATTACAAAACATATAAATCAATTGATTATTAACTAAATTGATAACTTGGAAAATTAAAGTGTTTATTCCAATACGTCATTTTTAAAAAAATAACTTCCTATCTCATTGCAGTTGAAGGAATTTATAAAAGATAAATCTTTTTGTTTTGTATTACACCATCATCTGTAGGTTGCTACTGTTAAATTATAAACTAAAATTTACATTTTAATAAAATTACATTATTTCAATTCAAAAATGTCGCTAAATTGAATAATTCTGAGCGGAAAGTAATTTAATGCAAAATATATGTTTCATTTTAAATAATGTATAATATTAATTATACATTATAATTAACAAATTTTAGTTGTGTTTCAATTGTTTTAAATTGTACAGGCTTTCATTTTGCACCGATATTGTTGCATATTTGTAGATTACGTCAATTATTTGTAATATCTGTTGTCAATTTCAGAGAAACATAATTATTTTCAATTTATAAGTTTCTATAAACACACAATCTACTGTGACCAATTTAATTATCAATATTAATGCAGCTACTACTGTATATGCTGCGTTCATTATTACCGAATTGACAAATATATATTAAATGCTTCTTAATGTGTTTAAAATTTACCTGATTAGTAAGCAATTGAAATAACAGCACTCCTGCCGACCACCAATCCACTGAATGATTATAATTTCCCATCTGCAATATTTCTGGAGCTAAATGAAAAATTGAGGAAAATTATGATTTTAATTAAGGCCGAATAGTTGTTATTATTTTTGTATTTTGTTGAAAAAATAATAGTCTAATTGCTTATAGAATACAGGTAATTTTAATACCGATATCTGATAAAACAAACTTACCCATGTACTGAGACGTTCCACAAATAGTATTGGTGCGGCATCCTTGCGGAAGCCATTTTGATAGGCCAAAATCAATCAACTGAAGATGGCCATCATCATCTAACAATATGTTCTCGGGTTTAATATCCCTATATATAACACCAGCGTTATGTAAGAAATCTATGGAGAAAAATATAATAATATATAAGTAGATTAATGACTCTAGACTAGAATAGTGCAATTTTTTTTTCTGATAACTAAATGCTCACAAGCTCAGAGCTAAAACCTAAGCAATTATGTCATGCCCAACAATCATAACCATTGTTCTTTTTTCTTACCTAAAATAGTAACTATTTCCGCAAAATATATTCTACACAGCTCTTCGGGTAAAATCTCATGTTGCAATAGCAACTTCAACAACTCACCACCTCCAACATAATTGCTCACTGCAAATAATAAATAATTATTATAAGTAATATTCGAATTAGAAACATGAAAACTTACATAACAAAAACACTATGTAAATAATATAAAATACAACTTGATAATATAAAACATATTTCTAACGTTGAATATCAAAAACATTTATTTAATGAATATAACTTACAACAAACCAGTAGGAAACCGCATGGATCAAATATAAATAAATTGAAAAAGTAACAGAAATAATATTGAATTATATTTATCTTTTTTTACAAATTTAAGCTTTCAAAATTTGTAAGAAATATTATTAGTTTACCCCGCAAAACAGTTTCAATATTTTTAAATTGTCAATAATTTTACCAACATTTTAAAAACAGTTGTTGTCTGGTTTTTCAATGTTTCAAAAACAGTATTTACAAAATGTTAAAATATTGTAAAAATAAAAGTGAAAATATCTTGACGTTGTTATCAATGTGTCGTAATTACAGAGGAAATCCAGTTTGTAGTTGACTGAATAGTCTAAATAATTTAAAATTTGACTGTCATGCAAGCACGCCAATATTTCAGTTGCCCGTAGACCATTTTTTTGACGGTTTGACCATCTAAACCATTTTAGTGATACATTCCAATAATTTTATTGATTTCCCCTAATGTTTTGATTTTTAATTTAAGTATAAAATAACTAATGTACCGTAGTTACAATAAATGGTACAAACGTTTTACATTTATTTAAAGCATTTCATTAACAATCAGCAAAACATATGAACCAGTAGAGTCTGATGATATACTCTTGTAAATACATATTTATTTTCCTCACCAATAAATAGTTGTTTTCTACTTTGCCAGTAAAATGGACAATTTATGATAAAAGGGTGATGACCGCACATTGATTGAATGTGTACTTCGTCTTTAACTTGCTGTATCCCATTCTCTTCGATAATCTAGAACAAGATGGAAATTAGAAGAGTAATGTTTAAAAATATTAAATATATATGAGAAATATACATAAACATGTTAGACACTTTATGTACATAATTACCAATAACAAGCACAAAAACCAACTAAACTCACAATATGTGTAGATTACTATGACAGGGAAAAATTGTATAAGTTTTTTAAAACTTACTTTACAAATGTATTTATCTAAAGCCACAAACCATTTTTGAGAGTTAAGGACAGATTATATATAAATTAAAAAAATACCAACAATTTAAAATCTTAAAATGTGGCTTAAGCATTTTTGGTTCTGAACACCTAAGTATAAAATATGAATAGCACTAAAAATAAGTATAATTACCGCAGATTTTTTGAGAATTTTCATAGCATATACTTCATTAGAATCCAATTGCTTAACTTTGAAAACTTTTCCAAATGCACCCTTACAAATAAATTCAATAATCTGCAACATAAAAATAGTCTTATATTAGTAAAAATTAAAAACAAGTAATACAAATGAAGTGCATAAAAAATGTGTTTTCTTTTGTTATTGATAAATAATTTTAAAAAACTATTTTATTTTATTAAAAAAAAAAATACTTAGTTATTTTAATTTTGTGAGAAAACAAAAATTCCAGCTAAAGCTTTTTGCTATTTACTTGAACACAGCTACTTTTAGAAAGGTAGCCGAAAATGTAAAAAGAATTAAAAGTGTGGTATCATAACTTAATCAAATGAACAAAAGCTTTAAAAATTTAGATCTCACTCAAAAGTTAATATTATGTAATGTCGTTTACGCAAAACTTTTTTTTCAAAATAATAGCACTAGATATTAAATAAATGTATTTATAATAATTTAATAAAATTCAATTTAGATTTATTACTAAAATAGAAAATACAAATAGTATTATTATAATAGAGTCTAAAATTATTAATACCTCAAATGATTCTTCATTTGTTTCAGTTTTGATTTTAAACTCTGGTAAAAATATTTGTTCAATTTGCGGAACTGGCCATGTCGTCTTACTCGCTTTGAGCAAATCATCAACTGCTGAATTTCTCCATCTTGAACAAATATAAATAAATATACACATAAACATATATTCATAATACAATTCTGTACCTTTTTTTAGATATTCGAGACCACGGTCTGCAGTCACTATAAACTGTTGTACTGGACAATTCACTTCTGTTGCTCATGTTTGAAAATACAAGCTGTAACCATTGCCCTGGTTCTAAGTAATATAGAAGTATTTAACTGTTATTGCTATACTTCATTCTACTGTTCATTTTATATAATACAATAATAATAGATTAATACATAGGTTAAATTAAATTTAAATAATATAATTATTTACAAAGAATCTAATACTATAATACAAAAATATTTAACGCGCTTTTAGCCACATGGCCTTGATAACGCTTATCAGTCACCTGTTACAAATTACAACCACAGAATAGATAATAAATTATTGTTACAAGCATGTCAACAAGGCTTCGGGTTTTAAGGATTAAACATCAATTTCGATAATTGATTGATGTATTGTGTTATTGCACTTAAAGCAATAGTATAAATATAAGTATAAGTATAAGTATTATCATTGAGTATATATTGTACAATATATACTCAATGGTATTATGTAAATTAATTTTCGATAATAAAATCATCTATTCATGATATTGCCAAAGATTAATTGCATAACAGTTAATTTTTACGATTAACATTTGAAGTCTTAACTATTGGGTTTTGTACATACATTCAGACAATAATTCCTACTATACTTTTCCGATTTTGCGTTCATCGCACGGTTTCTATGAACTGTCAGTTGTCCAAGCGGTAACCGGCTAACACATAATAATAATAATATTAAATAAATGGTTAGTTCTGTGATTACTTCACTGGAGGATAAGTACCTAGTGAACAAAAAAGTTTATTTCAAATTGCAGGACCTACCTATTATACATACATAGACCTAATCCACGAGCAGCAAAAAAATTGCTTGTTGTAAAATATAAATAATAATTTTTTTTTTTTAATTATTAAATTACTATTTAATTTGCTAACACATTTTGTAGACTTCTAAATTCTAAAACACAAGTTGCAAAGTAAATTTGAGGTTTATTGTATTTTAAACATAATTTGATTTTAAACATAATTAGTGAAAAAGTGGACTTGCAAATTCTTGCAAACTATAACAATTAATTTGACACCGTTTTGGGACCTCTGATACAACTTGGATGGTCTAATATTACTTAACAAATAACAATCTCATAATAATTTTTTTATTAACGTTTTATCTTTATTTTTTTCTGTATTTTAAGTATTTTATTATTAATTATTTGATGTCTTATCTATTAGAAGACATTTGTTTTGTATGTGATTTCGTTTTATTAGTTATTGTAAGACGAATGTTTGATTTATTGAATTAATAGCTTATATGTGTCGGTGAAATAATAAAGTACATTCTAACAGGTCACACTCATATAATAATATTTTTTATTAAATTATATTTTTAAAAAATATTTATGTTTTTATGAATATTTGAATTCGTATATTCTTAAATAATGTAGCATAGTGACTGACTTCTTTGCTCTTGGAAAAAATGTCTTTTATATAAACTGCAAATTATAGGGTTGGACTTACAAATAGTTGCAAGGAAATATATTTTTAATATTTTTATTGAACGCTACATATTAAGTACTCATGATCGTCAGTAATCAGTATCATCGTCCTCTTCTGCCCGGCCAATCGCACATATTAATATCAGTATATGGGAAGACCTCTAGTGGTAAAAATCAAGATTTATTTCATCTTACCAGTCGGTACCCTCGGCGGTCCAGCAAATCTATTGCTTATCGCCTAACCATAGACATTCGACTTGATAACAACAAAACTTAGAACCTTTATCATAAAAGTTAGGTTAGTACATAAAGGCTAGTACGGCTCCGGCTGTCTGCTTATTCTTTAAGTCGTACCGTTCAACCTATTTCATAAACCTGTCTATGAAGTATGGACAGGTTAAGTCAACAGTCAACATGCCAGCACATGTTAGATTATCAGATTCATCTTATCTGTGCTGCAAGTTAAAACTTACCACTTTCTGCTTACCGCATTCACAATTTTTGGGTAGAAAAAAGGCTTTTAATTTTATTATTTTTAATTGTTAACGATTAATTTTAATTTGTTTTCAATTCTCCCCTTTTTGCACAAAATACATAAAATTCGTTTTATAAGGGTCATTTAAAACACCCAATAATAGAATACGATCAACAATAGTGACTACCACTCAACTCAATATTAGCTCTTATTATTAACTATTAACTGAATTTTAAGTTCAGTGGAACCAATATTCCCATTTTGCTACAGATCACTAACATAGACCAAATATATATATATATATATATATCTTGTACATCTTTTTCTTACATAATACTATATTAATATTTTTAATTCATCAATTCGCGCTTTTCCCAGAAAATTGTTTGTATTTCTCATTTTGTTTTGCTAACATAAGAGTTGTAGGTATTATACGTACGTATGCTTTTTCTCTTTTTGCGTGTAACTGGCTACTTATCAGAAAGCTATTTTCGTTTCAAATTAATAAGGGTTGGTTAATTGACCAAGTGTTGGAGACAAAGATTGAATACGACTTTAGAAATAATAACTAAAAATCTATGACTAAAGGTGTTGAAGTTGTAATCAATAGCTGTTTAGCATTAAAAAAATGTTGGCTAATAATTTTTAATTTAATTTTATTGTGCTGTAAATCATATAAAAAAGAAATATTTAACTATTATAAAATTATTTAACATTCACCCTAAAAACTTAACAAGTTCTGAGGAATCTGAAAATTTTATATTCAAGAATCAATAAAATCCTAGCATATTTTCCAGTTAATTACTAATAAAATTTTTAATAACATGGTAAAATATAATATTTTAAATTATCAAAAAAAATAAAGCATCAAGAAACGTAAACAAAATTCTAATCTTGACTTGAAAATGTTTTTTTAGCTCCCTAGGTATCACTAATAACATTCCTTTTTCTAAATCTAAAGATCCATATTCATCTAATAGCACAATTATGGAACATAATAAGTTCTAAGACATTCATGTGCGTTAATTACACCAATTACTTTTATTATTATGGCTGGTAAGCTGTATGCTGTTTTTTTTAATTTCTATTAAAAACTTCATTGATTGGAAAATATAGAAAATAGATTATAATGAGAACAACTTATTTGTATAAACTATTAAATTGGTTTTAATATAAAAAAAAAATATTTCACAATTTATAAGCAACACATAATATAATGCTTTAAGACTCCACTGGAATAATAATAAAAAAAAAAAGGAAATGTTCAACATATAAATATTACCAATGTGTGATTAGAACAACTATTTCCTACTAAAGTAATCAGTCACGGTTCAAGTTATAATTTAAATCTCTTTAAATTATTATTCTATCTTGGCCAATAAATCTGATTCTTTGTAAATGGTATATGTGTCGTCTTCGTCCAGCTGAATTTTGGTACCACCATATTCAGGTAATAAAACACGATCGCCTACTTTGAGGTCTACTGGCACAAAAGAACCTTCCTAAAAACATAAATTAAATATTTAAATAACATAATATACACATAGTACAAAAAAAATAGCCTACCGGATTTCTACCGCCAGGTCCAACTGCAACAACAGTTCCTTCTAAAATCTTTTTGGAAGCGTTTTCAGGTAACATAATACCACCTTTACTTTGTTTAAGCGCTTCCAACTTTTTCACCAACACCCTGTCGAACAGAGGACGAAATTTCGTAGCTACAGATGCCTAAGTACAAATTCAAAACATAATTAATTTAAATAAAAATGTATAGCTTTTAATAGTATAATTTTTAAAATTAACTACTAGTAAATAATAATTGTGTATGTAAAATGTTTAAATGCAAAAAAAAATGTATAGTTGCGGCACGCGCGTTAAGATTATTCACATTTATTAAAATGAAACTAATAATATTATGTATATTAACTAAATTTATAACTTACCATTTTTAATTAAATTAATAATCTAATAAAGATTTGGAATTTATAGAAATCGCACTAGTTGAGTGTGAGTATGTAGAAAATGTAAATTGTGCTTGAAAATCGAATAGAAAATTCTCGAAGGCAGGATTGAAAATATCGGACTTTTGCATGTGAAATAGGTTATCTGACAAAGAACCGGAAAATATCAATCTAGTTTGGTTAGCTTTCGTGGAATAAAAAACCATTGTCATGGAATATTTCATTAAAAATCAAACGGCGGGCTTTTAAAAAACACAAATACTCAACATAGGACCCATATGTTTGATCATGAAGAGGAACCGATACATATGACGTACCAGAATTAATTTAATTATTAACTTTATTTTTACCATTTATGTACTCTGTGGTAGTATACAGAGTGTACCAGAAACAAATGTCACACTCTACGAGGGGGCCTTAAGAATAGACTTGCAGATTTTTTTTTTATGCCAAAAAACTCAGGGATTTCTTTTTTGTAAAATATCCATAAAAAAAATTATATATTATGGAATTTCTTGAAAATTTTCTAATTAAAAAAGGCTCTTCGATCAGTTAGTTTTTTTTTATAAGAAATTTTGTCAATAATCAGTTATATTTTCCTGAAAAGATTATTATATAAGCACAGAGCACGAATTTGTTTGTGGTACACCTTGTATAAATTACAGAAAAATACCTTTCGCAACCAATTGGCAATAACTCACATTTTATTTAAAAAAGGTAAGGATAGGATTTTTTTTGGTATGTGTAAATCCAATGTCGTAAGGGTATTATCCAAAAAAAAAACATTATTTTTAGGTAAATACAAAATAATAACTTAGCTTAAACAAAAAAAGCTGGGTTTGCTTATTTTTTTTGCGTATTCTGTTCACAAAATGTTATTGTAACGAAATAAAATTTGCGAACTGCATTATAATTTAGCTCAACAAAGTACTACAAGAGATGCAGTCAAATTACGGCTGGTGTCCACAGGACGACTGTTAATAGTCGAGTTCTACTTAACTGTTTGATCAAATCTCTAACGTCCACCACCTACTACAGTAGGACAACTACCCGTGTTTAGTTCTGAGCATGTCGCTCCAGAGTAAATTTAAGAGAACCATTGACAGATTCTAGTAAAATATAATGCCATAAAAACTTATAATTTAATAACAAGTTTTACATTTTTTCAAAATCGAGTGTAACAACAGCCACTTTAAAGTTGCAATTTTGTTACTTCACTTTGTAACAGTCACATGAATAAAGTTTCTGTTAATCTATGAAATAAATTCCAAAACGCTTGTGAATAAAAAAAAACCGTTTATTCAAAATAAAACAAGTTACAATATATGTACAAAATAGAAAAATAAATAGTATACTATAATATATATATATATTATAAATAAATATATATATTTATATAAAAAAACTAAAAAAAAAACATAAATATTTGTTCAAAATAAAAATTGTCAAAAAATCGTAATTCATTGATATGGAAATTGAAAATATGGCTAATTTTCTAAAAACAACAATTATAATTTAATAATAGTAGAAATATATTGCCTTTAATCTACTGTCCCACACTGTATCCACTGCTGTGATATGAAATATTTTCGAAAATAGCATAAGCGCATCATTTTTTTGTAATAAAAATTTAAAGAATATTAACAGAAAATAAGTAATGAAAAGTATAAAATAATTAGTTAAATCTTTAAAATGTTTTAATTCTCAAATGTTACTCTACAGATATTGACACTTACATATTTTGTTTATAAAACAAAATAACCTTTAAAAATAACAAACGTAAAAATCAAAAAATAAATTGATTTTAATGGGTAGACGGTATTAAATAGTTTTATTTTTGTATCAACAGGGCACTATTCCAGGCCTTGCATTCTATTTTCATTATTTTTTTCCTATTAAATTTAAGAATTGGTGACAAAATACTAAGATTAATCATTCGGTCACAAATTAGCTCATATGTTTCAATGCCCAACTGTTTATGTGCATTCCATCCACAGCCCCATAAAATGTTATTTTTAGTTAGAATCATTGAATGACGTGCCCCTAAGCTTACTTGTTCAATTTCTGTCTCCTCAGGCCAATCTATTAATACAGGTTCCGCAGCCATCATTGTGCCACTGTTTTCTGCAAAATATTAGAACATTTTTCTTTAGTGTTAAAATAATTATTGAAACTTATATTATAGAACCTCAATTTTTAGTTTACTTAACTAATTCCTAATGTAGTAATACTATAGATCAGAAATCGATCCTATAAGACACTTTAGTGGCCTAAAAATTGACTTTGCATTTATAAGTATAATTTTAAGATTTAAGATCTAAAAATTACACAGAATGTAGATCTATTAAGATCCTATAACTTGAACATGTTTTTTTTTTTTAATTCTAGTCATTTTTTTTTTTTTGAAGGGAAAAAACCAATTATGCGATTACAAACATAGTAATAATTCTTATAAAACAGTATATTATTGCCTGATAATCATTTATTGTAAATTTTATTGATACTTAGTTTTTTTGTTTTAAACATGTATACATGATAATAAATTTAGCAACTATCATTTTTTTTCCAAAATAATTAATGATTTTTACAGTATTATTGATTTCTCAATTAGCTAGCCTACATTTTCAGTAAATTATTCTCAACTTAAAAAGTTAATTACATACATTATCATTGTTTTTTTTTTAATCTGTGTACTTTTCAATTATGGGGAAAAATAAAAATTATGCTACTACTAACACATTTATTGCCAAAAATGTTTTACAAATATTAAACAGTTCTAAACAGTTTCGCATCAAAAACCCGTAACCCCCTCTCTAAATATGCTCAGTCATCAACATGGCCTGACATAACTGTGTCAAATGTGAAATCATTGTTTTTTTTTTTAAATTGTGATTGAAATAAAATTAATTTGCAACAATTATTAAAATGGAAGAATTTTTCTTTTTTTTTAGTCTACGACCTGTCAGGTCGGTTTGTACAACTCTTGCTCTACTAGAGACAAGAGTTGCCATCCTGGGTAAGTGGTTAGAAATGTAAGATTAACATTATTATTATTAATACCGGGAGAATTTGAGATTCCTAGTTGTCCTGAATGGTTCCAACCCCACATATACAGATCATTGCATTCTGTAATTGCAGCAGTATGCCATCCACCGGCTGAGATATTTATCACTTTTAAACCGTCCAGAAATTTTAGAAGTCGTGGACTCTCTTCTTCATTCAACTCACCGTGTCCTAGTTGCCCTCGACTAAACAAAACCAAAATAAACATGTTTTTTTTTTGTTTTAATTAGTAGTTCTATGTTACAAAATTCATACCTTCCAGTTCCATATGTATAAAGAGATCCACTTTCTAATAAAATCACTACATGTTCAAACCCACAAGCTACTTGAATAACTTTCAATTTGGTTTCAAATATTTTGGTTGGAATCGAATAAATTTCTAAAAATAACAAATCATAAAACCAGAAAATTTAGCTCAAACAAAATTAAAACACGTTCAAAAATACCATTGAAAGAAAAAGCCAAGTGAACATTATCACTACAGCATACATTGTGTATTAATAGTTTTTCACTTTTTTGTGAAGTTGAACAAGGAACTTCTGTTTGTAACTTTCGTGTAATATTATCCCATTTTCCACAGCTCTTCAAATACGACCAACAATTCCCCACCAAATCAGTAGCCAACACATTTGTTTCGGAAGTAGCAACCTGTTAATTTAAAAGTAAATCAATTAATACATTAACATTAAAATAATTTTTTCAACACAAAAGTCTTTATCTTAAATTTGTCCAAATGATTTTGGAAATATATTCTAATCTCTTTTAGTTCAATACCAAATTAATATATTGTAATAACTCACTTTCATATAAAATAAAAATTAAATGTGTGGGTCACGGGACCCCTGGCAGAAGCTATACTTCTAAAGAGAAAGAAAAAATGTTGTGAATAATATGTATAATTTATGTCTGTGCCGTCTATGTCTGCTACCCTTATTCTAATTATCTATTGTAATAATAAATATGGTTAATTTGACATTTTTTAATATATAGCCTGTGCGCGCCGAGCGTATATATAAATATATATATATATACACTTGCCGAGCCAAACGTTACGGTTTTTCTTTGTTGACCTCCCAGCATCCAGGCGTCCCATAAGAAGCATAGCTTCAAAAGTAAACTTCAGCAACAGACAATGTTAATATTAAATAAAATAAGGTGGAAAAAAAAAGAAAATTTAAATTTTTATAAAAATCATAAATGAACAATTAAATTATATACCTACATTTTTTTAATAATAATTTTAAATTGGCTTTAGTTAATTGGTTAATATATGAGCTGGTGAGAATGAAAGTGACCTAAGTCAAATTTTTAAAAAATCTGCAATATTGCTAGGGCATATTAGTATACTCTCAAATTATTTATAATATAAACAATAGAAATAGGAAATATTACTTACAGATTTAAAAGGTTCATAGTTAAAATTATTTAAGACCTCACATTTTACTTTCTTCTTGTGAACCAGACCACTAATTAAAACTTGACCGGAGCCTAAAACCCACAAATTATACTTTGCAATGTTTTAAATATATTACAATTAATAGACATTATATATAAACCGATTACAAATACCTGTCAAAACTGAAGCTGAACTCCAAGAAAATGTTACTTGTTGGATTCCACTACTGCTTGCTTTGTCCTCATATAGATGGAAATTTAAGTCTGTGTTATGTTCAAAGTTCAATTGGTTGAATCCATTAAAACCGCACCAATACATATCCATTATGTTGTTTAAATATGTATATTTATCTGTTGTCATATTTAAAATTATACAACAGAATAATAAGGTAATAACTTATTATACAAAAACAAAAATGAATGGTTACGTCAAAGCATATAAACTTTTATAATTTTTTTTTTGGGAGAGTTTTTTTTATATTTATATTTTTTTTTGTATTTTTTTTTTAAAGTTAATGTAATTAAAATGATGGTGGTTTTTTTTAATCATGAATGGACACGAGTTGATTAGGCAACAGTAGGATGTAAGGGCCTCATTTTTTTTGCATCATTCTCAATATCATCTTCTGAACAACGTTTATTGGAAACGGTATTTTTTTGTTCATCATCAGATTCTGGTATGCCATTATTTATATGTTCTTCATCATTTTTCACAACCTGATCTTCAGCAGCGAGTTTATAATTGGGAACTACACCGTTCTGAGCTTCTTCAGTTTTGGATACTAATTGACTGACGTTTTCTTTTTCGTAATCTAAAGTTTCTACCTCTGAATGTTTATAGGACAATAGACTATTTTGAGGTGTTACAGTTTCTGATACGTTGCCCTCATTATTTTCAGTCGACGATTGAGAGCTATTTTGAGCATTTTCAGTCTTAGATATTGGTTGACTAATGTTTTTCTTTTCATAATATAAAGTATCTTCTTCCAAAGATTTATTTGGTAATGGACTATTTAGTAGTTCTTCTGTTTCTGATACAGAGTGTCTACCTTCAGTTGATAATCGAGCAATTATTTTACTGCCTACAGTATTTGGTATTGCTTTTTCTTTCTTTAATTCATCTGGAACATATTCCTTTAAATCTTTTCTCTTTAAATGATTAACCTGTATGTCCATACCTGTTCTAAATATAGCATGAGCTTTACTTTTTACTAATAGACAAAAATCTCGTATATGCGAGCTGAAGTCTAACTGGACCACTTTACCATTAGATTTTGATATTTCAAGTCCCACAAACCATACAGATGATGGTCTCCCTTGAGATTTTTCATGAGGAAGTGAGAATTGGTCAGGATTTAAATGAGATCTCTGAACACAGTCAATTTCTTCTAGAGAAGTAGGTAAAAAACGTAGACGCGATTCAACTAATCCTTTCCACTCGAGTAATTCTTCTTCAGAGCTTGCAAATACAGTAATTGCCAAAAAATATCTGTACTTGGTAAAAAATTTTGAAGGTTGAAAAAGTTTCGTCCAACTGGATTCTCCAGTTAAAATTTCACCCATGATGTCTAAACTTACTTTGAACTCCTCTTGTATAATAGCTAATGTAGAATGAGATACGTTAAACGTTGAGTTTTGCTGTGGATACACTGGAGTAATAATAGGCATAACATGATTTCTGTCTCCCATGTTTACCCTGGGATCCCATACTGGATATCCTAGATCCATGTAGTATGATGGTTTTAATAACACTGGCTGAGGCCATTGCCATTTTGAAAATATCAAAAAAAATTTATGTATCAAGGTAGCTGGAGCGGCATTTGGATACAGTTGGCAAATTCTTGCAACTAACATTGCCCAAGAAACTCCACCAAGGTATCCCAAGGCATTTGAATAGACTCTGTGACGTTTAGCCCATAATTTGATCGCTATTAAAGTCTTTTTGAATGATTCTCGATTAGGAACTAGTCGCAAAATTGAATCTGTAACTCGACAACCGTTTAAACTCCTAACACACTTAGGATTCAAATTTCTTAACAGTTCATCTTGTTGAAGGTCAGTATTTTCGTCTACTTCTTTCAAAGCTAGTCGTGCGAACAACATATCAATTTCAATACCTTGAATAATCATTTTTATAACTGGAACAAATGCTTCTTCAACCGCTCGTACATGCATTATGCTAGGATTATCTTTCAATTTTGCATAAAATGATGAAAAATAATCTACTCTTGTTATATGCCTCGGCACAATAACAATGGCATCAATATCAGCACCTTTATGGTAGACTCCAAGTCGATAAGATCCAAATGTACATACCATACCTCCTACACTGTCAGCAGTAATTTCCGGTAAATTGCGTTCAATGCTTACTTCACGAATCCATTCTTTGGCTAAATTATTCAACATTGACAAGACTTCCAGCCTTTGAGATAAATCATCATCAGTAGTGATTACTTTTTCTTTTGAGAGAGCATCTTCTAAGGATTTTGTTAGTTGTAAGTCCATTTCAGTCGGGACAGCATCACTTATTGCAGATGTCATTCCATACATTTTGAATATAGTAATTTTAACAGATTATACTCCAAATTAAGATGATCTTTTTATTTTATACTTTGTTGAGTCTACCTTCTATGAGTAGATTTAATAAGATCTATTTACAAATCCAATAATTTTTTAATTTTTTGTTGTTATAATACTGTTTATTAAGAAAATTGCCAAAAACTTTTTTATTTGTTTCTTATTAGTTTAAGGTATAAATAAAAAATATAGCATAGTTAGATACTAAATACCTATATTACATATGACCATAGATGAACTTTGAATTTTGCTTTATGTTAGACTATTTTAGTGTTCATTTAATGTATCTTGAATAGGTCCTGTAAAAATGTTCGTAAAATATAAATGTTTCGAATTTCAAAATTAATGAATTCATAATTGAATTTAAAATAATTACTATATTAGTATACTAATCTACTTATTATAAGTAGAACAAACCAGGCAAAATGTGTTTTATAAGAAAAAATGTACTAAAACCAGACTTAAAAGCGAAGACAAATTTACAAAAGTAATATTTTAAGAGTAGTTAAAATAAGATAAATAGAACATATAATATGGAAGTAGTTTACCCTTTATAAAATATATCATATCTAAACTAAATTCTAAATGAATAATGAAGCTGTAATATTTAATAATACTGAACTGTATAAATGAATTTAAGTAGTTGTTAAATGACAGATCCTCTATTTTAAAATTAGGTAAACAAACATCAAAAAATCTTAAGTATAAACTATTTAGTTAGTCTGACAGAAATAAATAGACCAGCTCTTATTGTTATCTATGTAGACTTACTTAATATAATACAGAATAGAAGCTTATAACAAACAAGTGGGTCTATTGAATTATGATCTATTCAATTGATATGGTTGACATACAAACATAAACGAACTCTAATCGAATTTCAATGAGCAAGAGAAATCGATTTATAAGAAATAGTAACACATTAGTGCTATAAAAAAAAACTATAGTTAATTGTTTTGTTGTTTAAAATTGTATTGGTCAATAAAAATAGCGTTAGATAACAGTTAACACATTGTTTACACGAGGTTAAATTCTTTTGTTTGATATTTTAATTAAACAGTTAATGCCATGACCACGAAAAATTATTTTAATATTAATTGTGTTTTTAATTTTAGACCATAATATCTAGTTATATTTAGGGAGTTATTTACATTTTTTTTTACACAAATCACCTGTTAAACCGACACAACTATGCTAAGAATTTCGATTATTAGAGTGTACTTACATAATATTAGCGTAGTTACACTTCCAAGTTGGTAAAACAAAATATCAAATCACAATAATTATACACTAAATAGGACAATCAAAAACAAATGAACTATCAAAATCACATAGTAACTCACTTACGCCACAACCAAAATCACACAATTAACAGGCTTCGTCATTCACAACTGTAGTGTGGCCACTACACGTCCAAACTATATAGCTTGTATATTATCGTATTCTGTACTCACTACTCACTATAGTCTATAACATCAGCTATTGCTATACACGAGAAAGACGTGTACTTCCGCAGCGGCATATTTTGTTGTCTCATTTCTTCTTTGGAGAACGCAAAACAATCCACGGACACGCCCACAAATCGGGGATTTGCAGTGGTGTCGTAGTGAAAAAACAAAATAATGTAAAGAACAGTGAACATTTTTTACAGGATGTATCCCGCTGGTCTGACAGTACAATATACATTTTATACGCGATTCTGTCGATCATCGTGATACACGCTATACTAAAATACGGTTGGAGGTAAAATATCACCACCAAATTGTACGAATTTTCACAGTGTAAACTCAAAACTGTAACCAAACAATAACTCAATAGTGAATACTATGACGAAAATCAATGAGAAATAGCCACCCTTAGTATTAATGTCAATTGTAAATGAATTAATGAATAGTTTAGGCTGGTAGATTTATAAAAATCCACCTTGCAATTGGAATATTAGTTTAAACAGTTTATAGTGGTAAAAACATGTTTAAACAGATTGAAAATAATTCGCTTAATTTTGGTTTTAGAAAAAAAGCACTCAAATTAAAAGAGAACAAAATTCCGGAGGGCAAGACGGTGCGTTTTTTTTAAAAAAAATCATTTTTTTAAAGGTTACAGTCATTTAAAAATGTTAAAATAGTCGTTATTTCTAAACTATGTATTGAGCGCTATACTTAGAATAATGAAAAAAACGCACCGTCTTGCCCTCCGAAATATTGTTCTCTTTTAATTTTATAATGGGTGCTTTTACTCTAAATCCAAAATTAAGCGAGTTAATTTCAGTCTGCTTAAACAAGAGAGATGAAAAAACATTTTTAAATCGCTTTCAAGGATGCTGTGATAGTCCAAAAAGAAATTAACTTTTAAAAAAAAATCTTAGTTATTGAACTAATAATTACACATCACAGTTTAACCTTTAAATTAAGATTTTGTAAAAAATTGCCTATACTTTATTTCTTAAAAATGGGCGGTGCGACGCCCCTTAAAGAAATAATAAACAAAAACTGACTGATGGTCGCTATGTATTAATATTTTTTCATTGACTGCATTCAATAAATCACTTTATACCAAATATATTAAGATATGGAGAAAAGATCAAAATACCTACCCATAAGACAACAGATAATTTATAAATGTTCGCAACGTTAGTGTTTTGCTCTGTATTCAAGAGGAAAATGTAAACGAAAACACAAATTAGCCAAAGTATCTCATCTACAAGAAAAATATCATATACAACAACAAACCAGTTTGAATAAACTATCTGGTCTCTAGACTCCTACACTTACAATACTTTTAACGACAGAGAAAAAAATCTCGTCAAAGTTCCAATAGCTCTTGAATGCTATAACGACAAACAAACAAAAAGAAGAAACTGAAAATAGTAACAACTTTTTCTCTTTATGGAATAGGTAATAATAATGTTATATTTTTATTTTGTTTGTTTCAGGTATGGTCCAGAACTTGTAGTTTATTGGTTGAAGTACTTCAATAACAAAACTGAGGATGGCAATCTCTGAAAATACTGCTTCTTACCAGACGGTTGACTTCAGAAAAAAAGAAAAACTTTGCGATACTATTTAAAAAAAAATCCAAGCACAATAAAAATCACAAAATTGTCTTGTATTTGCATAAAAAAAAGTAATTGATTATTAACTACATAAACTTCAATGTAATGTGTTATCTTAGTATATGTACATTTACAATGTACTATTATTTCTACATTTCATTATTATACACAAGATGTTCAATAATATATTCACTTATAAAAAATATCAATTGAGATAATGTTACGTTAAGTAGCGGATTGTTTATACCCGCGTATGTCGAGAATTTTTTTTCCACACATAGCGCAAATTCCTTTTTTGTATGCACACGACTGACAGTAATTTCTGCCCGGAAGGTGTATTTTTTGTTTACAAATGCGACAACTGCTGATGAAACTGTACGGTGTGGTTTTCGTAGTGGAGGATGAGGACTTGGAACCGCCAGTCAACGTCTTAACTTTGGAAATTTGCTGCAGGTGTTTGTTGTCTTGATCATGAACTCTATTTGTTTGAATAGCGTTGCGAGATCCTGCTTTCCACGGATCGGGTGTAGCTGCGGTTCCTAATTTTTTCTCACACTTATCGCACACCATAATGAGTGACTGTAGAGCTAATATGAATATCTTTTCAAACGTATAGCAATTAACGCATTGGTAATATTAATTATTATAACTGTATGTTTAAGTACATAAACACAAGTACAAATTCATATTTGTAAGCAAGTGAATTAATTGATAACAGAGAGATGACAATATAAATAGGTACATCAACAACTTGCGTTAACAATTTTTACAATATGGTAGTCTGTTTTCTCTCGTAAGAAATACACGTCCACCCAATAAAACCGGCAGCCATTTTGTGGTTATCACAACTTGTTGACATACCTATTAATTTTGCAATGTCACTTTTTGAGTTTGGTACTACCATTTACCGTTGTGCACCGTTTGCCGCCATTTCTTATCATTTTCATTATTTTCAACATTTAATATTGGTAACTACATATTCCGGTTTTGATTTGAAATTTTTTTTTTGTTATTATTATTGTTGTTATTTATAAATAAAAATTTTCGGTAACGATTAACGAAATGTCCAAGAAAGCGAAAAAGTTTCAAATGATGGTTCGTGGCGATTCGGCTCCTAGTGCACAAGCGATTTGTGAAAAAGACGCAATTAATCAGTTGAATTGTGTTGAACTTGAAAGTTATAAGCAACGAATATTTGTTAACTCTTTAGAGCGCATTGAAGATGAAACATTGAAAGAAAAATGTAAAGACCTGAGTATACATTATCGAATGTTCAAAAATGACGAATCTTGTTTTGGTGCCAAAGAGTTGTCTGAATACGATAAAGATAAATTAAAGAATTGTATCGGAGAATGTGTAAACAAAGAGTGTTTGACTATTATTAATGAAAAAGAGTCTATTCCAGCAGGTATTACTTTATTTAATAATTTATTATAGTATATTGCTTTTTACTTATAGCTAGTCAATGAGAATAAAAAGTACACTACTCCTGTCTCAGACACAACATTACTTTGTGTCACGTGAGAACACAACTTTGTCGAAACCAAAACTCGATCAACCATGATTAGATTGTTATGAATGATTTAGTATCAACAACTTGTCCTTAATAAAGAAAAGTTTCGAGTGACTACAAAAATGGATAGATATTTAATTTTTATTAGTAATTTATTGTCGAATGGATCACCAAGTTGATGTTTGCCCGTAGTCCAGAGAATATATATATATATATATATATAATGTTCTATTATTAAGTACTTGTGACCCCCCATATTTTTTTAGTATTACATCCCCCCGATCCTCTATTTTACTTATACCAATTAATTTGCTACTAATTGTACTTACCAAGTATGATTGATAAAAAAAATATAAATATTTCGCTGTTGTGTACAGTATATTTCGTATTGTGTTTTGATTTCTGCACAGTTTCATGCATTGGTAGAAAAGAGTATAGATACTATTACTTTAATAATGTTAAAATAATTTGTTTTTCTTAGAGTTGATGCAGTTGGTCGAGTCTGAGCCGAATTTTCCAGACATTTTAAGTAATAAATTGGATGTATTTATTTCTCTTTTAAATAAATATGTAAATAACAATAAGGAGATAAAAAATTCAATATTGAAGTTACAAAATAGTAGCCATATTAATTTAACAGAAGCGGAACATTTAAACAAACAAGTCAATGTTTTAAACTCCAATTCAAAGTAAGACTGATACTTAACTATCATAAACAATCAAATGTGTTTTTTTTTTTTTTTATCAAACTAAATAATTTAAAATGTAATATGATATTATGTTTTTTTAGGAACCTACAAAGTGTTCTCATAAATGATTGTTCAGAAAATGTATTTGATGAGATGAAAAAATATTATAATGAAAAAGAAAAGGAATACACGGCAAATCTGTCCAAGTTAGAACATCTAAAGACTCAACAAGAAAAATATAATCAAGTTGACGGTCCAGAATACAGAGCTCTAGTCAAGAGTTATTTACAAACAACAGAAATGATAAAAATGAAAACTGATATGTTAAATGATTGTTGATTAAGTTTTTTATTTTTAAATATTATATTTTATTAACACAGCCTAACCCAACAATAAAATTAAACTTATGTTTTTAATAACACAAGAGCTTAGTACATTATTAATATTAAATATCAAATCACACTAGACTATTGTTTAAACATTTTAAACACCAAAATACATCAATGTGTTGTAAATCATCATATTTTCAACATAATAAATCATAATCTTTGTAAAGTTAAATAATCCGTATCAACTTACGCACCAGTGACAACATACTATAGTGCTACATATTTATTTACTGAACATATTCAACCGATTGTTTATTTTATTGCACCTATGTATATTTATTATTATAAATAGGTGTTAGAACATGTAATAATTTGTAATACGCATATTACTCAGATACTCTAAAACTAATTGATAAATTTACATATCTATATAATACCAAACTAACTTTAACATAACTTGGTAATTTCATTTGAAAAATTATGGTTTCCATAAAAACAGTTTCTTGAGTAAAATGGTAGTATAATATTTATCCTATAAGAACTACGCTTGTGTAAATTAATTATATTTAATTAAGAAAACGTGACCTTTGCTCGGGTTTTTTGATAAATTCCCTATTGAAAACATCATAGTTAAATATTTTAATTCAACCGTAGCATAACACATAATTATTGTATTGTACATTACATTATACGACTCTACAGATAGGTACTAGTGTATAGCAATGTACAATAGGTAGCAGGTACATCTAATTTGTACAGTTTTTCTTCAGCATGGAATGTTCTACAATAACAAAATTATTTTTCGTAATCGCTGCGTTCGTTCTTTTTCTTTCTATTTTCATAATTAGTTTACGTTTTCCTAATTATTTAGAATTTGCTATTTAATCAAACTTAAAACTTAAATTATCCAGACACGAAACCTATAGAACTTCAATTTTTTAATACGAACTTAAGTATATAGTTGTTGTTACGTTATTATTTATTGCGGGCTTTTAATAAAGCCACCAAGTCGACTTTTTTAAAAGCGTTTTTTTCATTCCATCATTAAAAACATTTATATTGCGCAGAAAATATAGTATTTCTATGACAAAAGTTTATAGACAGTTGAAATTCTAAAGTTTGTTTAACGACGAAATAGTCGACTTAGTGCTTTATTTAACGCCCGCGAAATTTTTTACTAAATAGGTGTAACTATTTTAAATGTCGATCTGAAAGTTCATGTTTATTTGACTGTATGGTCTGGTTAGTTTGACCACTCAATTAATTTAAAATTACATTTTTTATATTCATTTGTCAGATTCTGATTACTATAATTTACTAAAACATAAAATCAAGCTTGACACAGCCGTTGTGCTTTAGAACGCTGTAATATTATTAATTATTGTATGCTCCCGTGATAGAGAATCTGTTGTTGAAATGTGTTTTACAGAGTTTAACAGTGTGACCTTGATGGGTTGTGCAGTGGTTTATACTTTATATCACAGCACTTTTTTTTATCGATATTTTCATGCGATGATTTTTCGTCGACGTCACTTCTAGAGAAAATCGTAATCGGCGTTAATTGTGATTCGGCATAAGTACACAAAACAATACAAGTAAGATATCTCCGTTTATAATTAAAAGTGTTATTATAGTGTTGTTTTAACGTTACAACGGCGTTAATAATCGATTAAACAACGGCCAATCTTGTTTGCAGTTGTTCGAGACGGTTTTCCGAGTGCGTGCTCAAAGTAAACAATCATGGATGAGGAATACGATTGCATTGTGTTGGGTACCGGACTGAAAGAATGCATTTTATCTGGTATGTTGTCCGTTTCTGGTAAGAAAGTATTGCACGTAGACCGTAATAAGTATTATGGTGGCGAGTCAGCGTCGATAACGCCGTTGCCAGAGTTGTTCCAGAAATTCAACGTAAAAGAACCCGATGAAAAAGAATATGGACGTGGACGCGATTGGAACGTAGACTTGGTGCCCAAATTTTTAATGGCCAACGGCCTGCTTGTCAAATTACTCATCCATACAGGTGTGACGCGTTATCTCGAGTTCAAATCGGTTGAGGGCAGTTACGTGTACAAAGGTGGTAAAATCTATAAAGTGCCAGTTGACCAGAAAGAAGCTCTTTCCTCGGACTTGATGGGCATTTTCGAAAAGCGTAGATTTAGAAATTTCTTGATATTTGTACAAGACTTCCAAGAAAATGACCCGAAAACATGGAAGGACGTTGACCCACACCGTATGTCAGCTTATCAACTGTACACGAAATTTGGCTTGGACAAGAATACTCAAGACTTTACCGGGCACGCTTTAGCTCTCTATTTAAATGACGATTACATTAATGAACCAGCGGCTAAATTAATTAGCCGTATAAAGTTGTACAGTGATTCATTGGCTCGTTATGGAAAAAGTCCTTACTTGTATCCTTTGTATGGACTTGGAGAATTGCCTCAAGGTTTTGCTAGACTCAGTGCCATTTACGGTGGTACATATATGTTGAACACTCCTGTTGATGAAATTGTTTTTGAAGGATCGAGTGTTGTTGGCGTTAAAAGTGGAGGTGTGGTAGCTAAATGTAAACAAGTATTCTGTGATCCATCATACGTAAAAGATCGTACAAAGAAAACTGGGCAAGTGATTCGATGTATTTGCTTGTTAAATCATCCAATACCTAATACTCGTGATGCCCTTTCTACACAAATAATTATACCTCAAAATCAAGTAAATCGCAAGTCAGATATTTACGTTTCGTTGGTTAGCAATACCCATCAGGTATGCTCTCAAGGATGGTTTACTGCCATGGTGTCAACAAAAGTAGAAACTAGTAACCCGGAACTAGAAATAAAGCCCGGTCTAGATCTGCTGGGTCCTGTCAAACAAAAATTTGTATCCATTTCAGACTTCTATGAGCCAATTGATGATGGAAAAGAGAGTAATATATTTATCTCAACATCGTATGATGCTACATCTCATTTTGAAACTACTTGCTTGGATGTTTTGGATATTTATAAACGAGCGACTGGGGAAGAGTTTGATTTTTCAAAAATCAAGTTGGAAACTGATGATGCTTAAAAAGTAATAACCTATAAAACGTTTATCAAGTATAATATTTTTTTTTGTATTGTTTTTTAAAGAGACATTGTTTCATATTAGTCATATAAAAACGTGAATATACTGCTGTCATTTCGTGCATTTTTTTAAAAAATTTTATTTGGTTGCAGTCTATACTTAAGATAAGAATATTTTAGGATTACTTTATTTAATTTTAACTAAATCTCCATCATTGAAAACAATATAATATATTTCAAATAATATTTAAAAATATTGTCATTTTACCTAATGAAAATATAAATCATTTTTGTAATTATTATTTATATACTTACTTTTTTTTTTTTGTAAAAAATGTTAATTTTAAGTTTTACGTGTTTACTATTTATAAGTTGGCTTTAAAAAATTACCTATTCGTTTGCGGACTGTTTTCATATTGGAAAATAATCCTTGTGATTGATATTATATAAATACTTTATTAAATCCTTGAAAGAATAATTCTTTTCATATTATTAGTCGATTTAGTTATATGTAATCACTCTATTTAATAATACAGAATTGAAATAAAAATGATTATATTACAAACAAAACATTGAACATTTTATTGTAATTTTTTGGAATAACTAGGAGAAAAATTAATATATTTTTTTTATTTAACCAATATAGCAAAATAGTTATGGCGAAGAATTTATACCAAATTTTGTTTTAGTTAAGTAATTGAAGGACGTCGCCTTAAAAACAATACCACCCTATTGGTATAATGGCCACTTAACGGTTTTAATCATTTGGTAATATTATATGGAAATAGGCATATTTGATATGTTGTATCTCGAGTTCTACCTTGGATGGTCAATCATAATATAACAACAATAATACACCTGCATTTCTGGACCAAATTAAACTATTATAAAATACAAAATAAAATTACACTTTAATGATAGTAGTGATGAGATTAAATTTGAATTTATAAAAATGATAACCAGCAAGACCCATTGCAAAAATATTATTTATTTATCGAACATATACAGTGCTGAATTATTTTGTATACACACACATACATTGACAAAAAAAAACATGATTTATTAGACAAACAAAAATTATTTTATTCGAAGAATTATTGACAAATAATTATTAATGTTCGGTTTTAACTTTTTTGAAATTAATTACAAGGTCTTTTACTGCACTGGTGGTATCTTTTAATTGGGAGTTAATTCTTTCTTTATCTTCTGGGTTTTCAGTTTTTAATAACTGAACAACGAGATCTGAAATAAAAAATATTACTAGTTCAATTACATTTTAAGATTACAATGCATTAAAAGCAGTGGTCGGGATGTTACTCATTTTGTTGCAGCACCTTTAAACCTATTTCTATTTTGTAAATAAAATTATTTTGCTAATGTCACAGCTACTTTATTTGAGATATACTAGAGATTAAGAGATTTACTTTCAATAATCATTTGATAGTACATATTATTATTATTTTCTACTTAATTTTTTATAGACTTTAAACAGTGTAAGGTGCTACAAGAAAAGTAGCATCACTACTCCTAACCACATATTAAAAGTCAATACTTACCATGGTAGTTTTGTAAAAGTGTAAAATCATTTTCGTTAAGATATTTTTGTAAAAATCCCAAAACAGATGATACAAATTTACCAGACACTTTGATCATATTTTGAGAAACTGTTTGAAAAAGAATTTGGGTACAAATAAGCAATACTTCAGCAGGATCATCTTTAACATCGGATAACGATTTCAATAGCAGTTGTCGATTATTTTGTACATGTTCTCTAAAACAAAGAATTAATTGTTTTTTATAATATGCATCATTAAAAAAATTGATATTTATTGGTTATTATAATTAATGTATTATAATAGACTACCTCTCCTTTTTGCGATCATTTTTCTTTTGTACTATATCTACAGCAGATAACAATTGGTCTACCGCATCATAAAAATCGTCTGTGGTTTTTGACATTAACGATTTTTGTAACTTTTCAACAGCATTTTGAATTTGACTGTCATCATATTGATTAGATTTTGACTTAATGACATAAAAAATCAAATAAAAATATATATTCAAAACACCTAACATCAAAGTTGACAATTAACTACCTCCAAATTGTTTTCTCTGTTTTGCGCTATATATTTTTTAACACTTTCAACCATTTCTCCTCCAGTTGACTTTAACAAATATGTTGTAAGTTGGGTTTGGACATCTGAACTCTCAAACTTCTGAATACCTTTAACGTACTGATGAAAATCTGCAATCAGCAATAAGATCTTGTCTCGGAATTCCTGGTGTACTTTACGTCTATCACCCGTTCGATTGGCCATTACTTGATCGTATGTAGCTTGTGCCTGTCTTAAAGACTCCTTATTCAAAATTCTAAAAGGATTAATATATATGTTAAAATGAAACAAAAATAGAAATTACAAAAAGCTTTTATTCTTATTACGGGTAGAGATAAGTGATGAGTTTATCAATTAATAAGTCTTTATCCCCATCGACATCTTTAAATGTTTCTTCATTCTCTAAATATTCTCTTATTTCATCTAAACTAACGATTTCAATCATAAACTGATCGTTAATGCTTGCTTTATTGTCATGATCATCAGAGTCAGAATCATGGTGTTTAGATTTTTGACCATATTTTTTTTTTACTGCCTTAATCTTAGTTTCTCGTCCCTAAAATATACCAGACAAAATTTGAATAATTTATGTTTAAAAAAAATCATTATAGTAACAGCAGCCACTGATTCGGATATAGAATGTATAGTCAATGAGAATTTGCGGTGAGGCAAGTTTATAAATATCTCTGCATCAAAATATTTTCAACTTGAATTACGTACATAAACTTGTCTATTTTAATATAATGTAATATTATTACACAATAAAACGGGTTGTAATTTCATGATTGATCTTAAAGCGGTGTTTTATAGCAATTTTAAGATTTATTTCCTAATCAATAAGTAACGTTGACTAAGGGTGAAGATATAAAATCAAATATTTTTCGTACTTGCGTTCCTCCACCATGTTTTCCTCCAGACTTTTTTTTGCGCTCTTCTTTACGACTAAGTTCTGGATTTTTGTCCTCTGCCATTTTTTGTTGAATTTTCCATTGCACAAGAGCATTGGCATAATCCCCAGATTCAACAATCTACTCAAGTTCAATTATTTTACAATTATATTGATTGGAAGTCAAATAACTAATAATTACAAACCTGTTTAATTTTGCTATCTGTTGCGCTAAGAATGTGCTCAGACAGCTTTTCAATAAATTGATCAGTTACGAGAACAGTTTCATTAAAAATTTGGTAACCTTTTAATAGTTTATCTTTTTTTAACAGATATTCTAAGATAAGTACCCCATCTTTAATGTCAATGGTCACAGGTACAAAATCCTGTAAAGAAAATTTTGATTATTACTACTCCATCACTAGTCACAAATTAAATACATATTAAGTGTATTTTAACTTAATATAGCTACATAATATGCATTATAAAGGACAATTTATGGAGTATTAATATCTATAATCAAGTACAATGTGAAATGTAAATTATGTTTATAATATCTTATTCACTATTAACAAAAAAATCATATACATATTGTAAAAGAAATACCTACAAATAATATATGTAGTAACAATACTAATAAGGAATAGCTCACTTGTCATTGTACGACCTCAATTCTAGTTTTCTCTATCAATTTGAGTTAACATGGCATATCCTTCCCCAGAGTTTACTTCAGTCTCTCCCAATTTTTTTCATTTATTGTGTACAATTTAGTATATAATTTCTTTGTTTTTTTATTGAACATTTTTAGTTAAAAGGGCATTTCTTAAAAATGTTTTTAAAAACGGTTTTGAAGAAAAAAGGATTACATCTATTGACTTGGAAATAATATAAAATTAGTACCCCCGCTGGTCTGTAGTTCGAAAACATAAGGACTGATTTGAAAAAGTCTCCTGATTTTTTTTTCACTACAACTATAATAAGGATGTATCCAGAAATTCTCTTGATACTAAAAATTTAATTTAACAAACAAGACAAATTTGTATTGGTAAAGGAGTAAGGAGCCCTCTGAAGAGGTAAGTACTTACATAGTTACACAATCAGTAAATGAAAAATGTGTACATAAAAAAATGAAATATTCAATAATTCAAATTTAAATCACAGCCCTTATATAATATAACCTTATTACATAGAAGTTATAATTTCTCACATCACATTTCTAACATTAAATAAAGTTCTACAGTACCAAGATATCAATCCATGTGCCACTAGCAATAGCATCTTCAATAGCTGCAGAGACATCGTTTAGAATTTTAGGACCAACAGAACATGTGGTGAGTACAAGCAGTTCCTTTGCCAGTGGTAAACGTGATATATATGACTGTGCATCAGTTATTCCAACACTATTCATTGCAGCATAATCTAAAAACATCTCGATAATAAATATGGAATCAATTTTAAGATTTATATGCATAATAAGAATTTTTTAAAAATAAACACACCAAGGTAGTTATTGTTTGAATAAAAATTCATAACCCAATCATTTAGAGTTTTTATGTAAATGTTTGGTACATATGTACACGTGTTTCCGATTCGATCAGTCAATGTACCCGCCACTTGTTTTCCAGACAATAAATTTTCCAAGACGCCTGAAAAATATATACATTAGTTATTACATTGTATCTTAAAACCTACACAACAACACAATTAACTATTTTCAGTTATTATTTTGCAGAATTTTGGCCATTAGCTTTTAAAGCTTATGCCATAAATGCCAAGACTTAAAATAATTTATTAATTAATTAAAAACTTACTAAAAAATTCTTTTTCATCAATAGAACATTGATTTATTATTGCTGTACACAATACAGGTCGAGTTACGGCTAATACAGCGCCTTTAACTATTCTTTTAATAGAATTAAAATACAAATCTGTATAGTATACATATGGATTATTTTTATTTCTATGAAGGTTGAAAGTTAATTTTTTGGTATGTTTTTCAAGCATCTAAAAAAATAGGATAATATATACTAGCTGATAGATGATATATCATAATGAAATTATTTTGATTAGGTTACAGTACTTCGTACCATATCAATAATGTCTACAGGTAAATCATATTGCTGGGATAACTTTAACGAATTAATATGGCCCAACTGCTCTAATTTTTCTACAACATCTTCGGCAATCTGATCCAAATAGTTTGATCCAATTAATTGTCCGTGGATAACGCAATACTCGTCCGGCTCATTCTGAGCCAATTTTTCACACAAATTAGCTGCAACATCAGGATCCACTTTCAAAGCTCTTGCAGCATCTAATATATTTATACGACCTGAAATAATAAAAATAATAATAATGATGTAGTAAACAAAACTAAGCTTCGAAAATTGTAAAAATAGAATGATAAAACAGTTTGTTCTATGAACTTTATATCATGCATAACAGCTCACTAAAATTTTTTAATTTACTTCTTTTTTTCAAGTTCAAATACAGTTAATCTATCACTATATTATACAATACATAATTAATCGACATTTGTTTTAGTTATAACAAATTATGTACATTTTGACTTGGAAACGTTTCTAATCTCTGAATAAAATATTACAAAATTATAAATTAGTTAATCTATTGACTTAATTTTAATAACTATATATCTGTAGGCAACTTTCAAATCTGTTTGCTTAATTGATTGCCTACAAATATACTTTTATAATTTTCATTCAATTATAATAAAGCATTAATAATTTTTATTCTGATATTTTTTAATAACCTAACAATTAATTTATAATTTTAAAAAGCCTACTTAATAAATAATATTATAATTAAGATAATAGAGCATATTATTCTTTGTTTTATTAAGAATACCTCCTTGAACATAGGTTTCGTCTTGGAGCTCTTTAGTCAAGTGTGCTGGTGTCACGTATTCTTTTCCATCCGTTGTAAACACAACGTCCAACTGGTTGGAACTAATGAGTTTGGAGACTATTTCAACACAATTTCGTTCCCCCAACCTAAATCAAAAATCAAAATTAAATTTCTTTTTAAGCCTTGTACAACAATTATTAACACTGTTGGAAGTTAAAGTGACCTTTGTGATGAAGTAGTTAATTGTATCCGTTGAAAGTCTGCAGCCAACAACTTCACTTCGTTCCAGTCGCTAGACGACATGGTTTTGAAAGGTTTTTTTGTAAGTAGGTTAGGTTAGTAATGGGTAAATTAATTACTGTTTATGAAATTTAATATTAATTTCGAGAACACCAGTACAAACACGTCAGCATTCACCGGACATACATTTTTCAGTAGATACCCGATGACCGATCTATAGACTATAGATAACTAAATAGTAAATATTGGTGACACAGAATAATGAATATATTAAAATCATAATCTATTTTGTGGTGGTGATATCTCTATCTACACATTGATATTAAAGAATGATATGATAATGTGATAAGTAAAGTCATAACAAGTTGCTTAAATTTTTAACAAGACGTGAAACACTCATGGAGCGTGCTTTGATCATTGATTAATGATTATTGTTGTAAATTTTGATTCGTAGATGCATGCGTTTTTATCGGCTTATCGTAACGTACAACTCAAAATACAGCCAACAATAATAGTTTGTGGACTGGAACACTAAAGTATTGTTTGATTCATACTATTCAGAAAAACGAAAAAAATATATAATATATTCTAATTGTTTTTGACATAACGGTAAATATTTTAAGCAATTAGAACTCTTCGTTATGCAATTCTTTTATTTATTGTTTAATTCAAGTTTGTAAGGTCTAGCTAATTACTAACAAACCTATAAAGTGGAATTACAAATATTCAACAAAAATGTAATTGTTTGATTTGGCCTTTTTTTTTTATAAGAAATAAAACTAATATCTACAAATATTTTAATAAACCAATCGGTACTTACAAATATGTTAAATTTAACTGACAATTGGTGATATGATAATTCCATGCTAATAGTGTGTTTTCGCTAATTGTATTGTTATGATCATTGTATTTATAATTTATTATAACAGTACTTATTTCATTCTATCACATTCTCATATTCTAGATATTTTAGTCTAAATATTTAGCATCAGTTGATATTATTTTGTTTTGAAAATGTGTTGAGGAAAGCAATTTTAGTTTGAAATTCAGTCAATTTGTATAGGTAATTGTAGATAAAATAAACACCTCAATGTATAAAATAAAATATTCAATATATACATGTCTATAAAGTAGTAGTTTAAAGAATATTGTTTTTAGTTTATAAATATTATTTTTGTTAATAGCCTATTAGGAGATAGAGTGAATAATATTTGGTTTTTACTAGTAAAATTTATAAAATGACTTTTTATTTTATAGGACTTTTAAAACTATGGCAGAAAATTTTGGTGAGCTGAAGATCACTATAAGAAGCTTGTTAACAATTACTAAAAACCAAATTAGTATAGAGCAACTAGAAAAAGACTATTATGAACAAGAAGGTGAAAAACTCCCATATCGACGTTTTGGATATAATACAATTTTCGATTTATTAAATAGTATGCCTGATGTAGTGATTGTGAGTAAACTCATTTTAATATTTAGTTCATAATTTGTATTTATTCAAATTTATTTTTTATTTAGGTGCCACCAAATCCTACCAGACTGTCTCTGTTATCTGTCGTCTTAGGCAACAAAACAAATCATCTAAGACTGTTAGTTCTTAATCAAAAGACTTCTAAACCAAAAAAGTCAAAGAAAACATCACTTTTGAAACAAAGAACGTTTTGTAATAATTTTAAAAGATATAACAGCCAGAATAATATTAATAAGTACAATGGAAATAAAATGTTTAATGGCTATAATAATAATAGAAACATCACTTCAGGAAGTACCATTAGAACAACTTGTTCGCCACATATTAATACTCAACAAAATAATAGAACATACAATAATAGTGTTCAAATTAATATGAATAGTGGAAATATCAGGCTTAACGGTCATACAAATAATAATAATTATAAAAATAATACTTATCCAAGTACTAGTAGAACAAGTTATCCTCAACAATTTAGAAACCAACAGAATGGGACCCACGTTAATAGCCATACCATTCAAAATATGAAGAACAATGTAAATAACAGATTTCATGATGATATTCCTCAAAGTACTAGCGACACAAATAATCCTCAACAATCGAATGAACTGCACAATATCACTAGCATTAGTCCAAGAAGTAACAATTATAAGAATAATTCTAGTGGAAATAATTTTTATTTTAATCAAACAATGCCAATTATGAAATCCGGAGAGCGAGTCAAATCTTGTTTTGAAGACAAACATTGCAACCCATCGCCTACATCGAGTAGTAGTAGTAGTAGTATAGCCAAAGTAAAAACAGACTCAATACACAGTTGTTTTGACTTGCAATCTAAATTGCATTTTTATTTAAATAAATTAATATCTAATAGTTCAACGGTAATTATACAATATTTTATTTATAAAAAATGATAATCAGTGAAACTTGTCTAAGACAGAATTATTAAAAAAGTTCTGTTTTAAGAAGCTTTCCATCTTATTTGGTAAAATATACATGTTAAGCTGTTTAGTGTGACTATACACAAATACTATATTGCACAGATGTCAGGCTTCATCAAGATCCACCTAGACAGGTTCCACTATATTATAATTTATTGTATAATTGAAAATATTTTTAGAATTGCTTATTATTGTGTATTTGATGTTTTTAGCCTATTACAAAAGAAAAGTTAAAATGTTTAATCCGTGAACATTCAGTCTATTGCAATGTACCGGAAGATATTGTTGATAATGAAATATGTAATGTAAAAGATTTTATGGATATTAAAAACATGTCAATCAATATTAATAGCTCTAGTTCAGACGCAGACATTATAAAGCAAAAATCAAGTAAGTATATTTTGTTATAATTTTTGCAGACTTCTGACTTCAAAATGACATATTTTTTATTAATTTGCATTTAAAGTTTCTCCTTTCTGATTATATATATATATATATATTTTTTTTTAATATTTAAATTCTTCTTTTAAAAAAATTGTAAAGTGACTTCCTTCTTTGGATTGTTGAAACTGTAGAATAAATGCCATAAATTAGGTTTAAATTTGTAAGTACAATATCATTTTTTGCATCACAGTCATTAATAATTTTTATTTTTCAGATCAAGGACTTAATAAGATAACTATAATTTCTACAGATTTGGGCCGAAATACTAATAATAAAAATCATAAAACCATAATTCCGAAAGCTGAATTGACTGAAGCTAAATCACCAATTAATATAAAACAAGTTCCTTCATTAGAAAATGTAAATATAATGTACATTTAGTATTCAATTTTTGTTTGTATTAATTTATTTGGTTTTAGTCTTTTAATGACAGTTCATCTTGTTTAAATGAACAAATGACTAAAAGAGCTCATTCCACACCAAAAACAAATGATCATCTCAGTAAGAAATTTATTTTATAAATAAAATTTTTCCATCAATGGATAGAATTTCATAAAATCATAGTTAATTTGTGTAACTTGGTTTTTATAATTATTCTCAGAAAAATTATCCAACAGCACGCAACAAAGCGATTTCGAGGATGTATCCTACAACTTAGCAAGAATTTTCAGTATTTATTTTGATGGTGTGAATATTCAAAATTTGCGATTTATTTATAATGTATGTTCGTAATGTAAACTTCAAGTTAAAAATAAAATTACAGTTGTGAGATCATATTTTACGTTTCAGAGAATTTTCGGAACTCTTTACAACCCGAAAGACTATGGCTTTGAATCAGACGAACTTATGATTAAATCATTGCACAATATAATTGAAATAAGAAACCATGTATTGTATCACAAATATATAACTGTATCTCCTACTGAATTTCCAGACGATAGTATTCGGTGTGAAAAGGTTTATAACATTATGAACATACAAGTAACAACTCAATTGTTTTAAAGCTTAATATTTGACATCAATTATTTAGTCAATCATTTTACAGATCAAAGAAGATACTAATTTCTACTTACATAAAAATATTAGCATTAAATTTGTACTAGAACAGGAAAAACTATCACTGATCCAAAGTTCTACGGTAAAAATGTTACTATCTGAAGTGTATAATCCAAGTTTGTTTTTTATGCAATTAGCTTGCAAAGCTGTTGAAGTTGACAAACTAATAGAAAATCTGCAGTAAATATTTTATGTTACATATTGTTGTTGTTTTTAATAGCATTGCTATGTAATAATGTTTTTCATATATTCAAATTTAATATAATTTGCCTAGGTCCTTTTACAATCGAGAGGGGAATAAATATAAAGTTGAACCAAAACATGTTTTACCAAAGCGCGTATTTGTTTCTTGTTATGTATCCTGTTCATCTATTAAATGTTGGTATAGAGCCAAAGTATTGAGAGAAATTGAAGAACACACTGTTGAAGTATGGATTTATGAAATAATAGTGTTTTAATTTAAGTTGTAGTATTGTAAATCAAAATTTTTGTTTAGGTATTTCAAGTGGATTATGGGACAGTGGTTTGTGTACCAAAGACTGAATTACGTCTGTTGAAAGACGAATTTAGTTACTTACCAGGACAGGCATTACAATGTTGTTTAACTGGATATAATGAACTTGAAGTAATATCGTCAAAAGTCACAGAAACCTTTGCTGCTCTCACAATGAATAAAACACTTTTGGTTGATGTCGATAAGAATTACTCTATTATGGTGAGATTTTAATTTTATTTATAAGTTTTTTAATTTATTACATCTACTTATACTTTTAGAACAATGATTTTCAAATCTTACATGTCACTTTATATCATCGGATAAGCAATTCAATAATTATGAATTTGAATAACAAATTGTAAGTATACTGTTAACAGTTTCATCTTAGGTAACTAACATATTATGGTATTTAAATTAAAAATTCAGTTAAATAGTTTGAAAATTAAAGGACCCTATTCTTTTAAATTTGTTAACACCATTTCCATCTCAATTGAGAAACATACATTTTATTTATATGTGGGCCATTTGTAGTTATTAGAATTCAAATTAATGGTTATAATATACTTAATAGAAACGGAAATGGTGTGACAGTTTAGTGACAATAACATATAAATCCAGACTACATCAAAAGAAAACATTTTTTTAGGTAGCTTAAAGTCCTGAAATACTATACATAAGTACAATCAATCAGTCAGTTTAGTATATTAATAAAAAAAAACCCGGTTGCTGGTATAGCCTAACAAGCCCCATTGGTAATTAGAAAGTATGGTTGGGTGGGTTTAGGTGGTGTGAAAGTATAATCATTTGAAGTGGTCGAAGTGTTTAATAGCACTCCATTCTAGAACTTTTTCCCGGCCAGCTGTAGATATATGGGCAGCTTGTGTAAACAAAAAAAAGCTTGGCGAATAGGACGAAAGTAAATCAGTACCAATGTTTTAAGAAAATGACCTTTAGAAATGTTATTTAAAATATTTTTCTAAACTCTAAAAGCAGGGGAGCTTGACGTACATCATATTTTATTTCGAAGCTAATAACCTGAGTTTCTCATAATGGAACTTTGACATGAAACTTGTTTTTTTTTTATTGATAATGATATTGCTAAAGATATCTTATGATATCTTCTAAGGTGGACAATATGGATTAATTGATAAGGCTTATTAATATTAGTTATGTATGTGTTGTGCTATCTGTTAATTTTAAACCAGAAAAACAAATTTGTTTCAAATAACACAGTTTACCCAATGCTCGGCATGACGGTAGCGTGGCCGAGCGGTCTAAGGCGCTGGTTTAAGGCACCAGTCTCCTCGGAGGCGTGGGTTCGAATCCCACCGCTGCCAAGAACTTTTTCATTTTTTATCTTTAAAGTGATTTCCTTTTACTTGGTTTACGTACGTCTTTCGTAAAGTAATATGTACTTTACTAAAAAAAACAGCGATCCAATTTTAATAATAATAAAAAAAATTGTAATTATTGTAGTATTCAGATTTTATTGTAATAAAATATATTTTTTTAAACAAATTTGATTTTGCATTTAATATTTTGATTATTACTAGTTCAACAATAATTAACGGTAATACTGCCAGAGTACTCGCGGCAAATTTTCGAAATCGAATTATTGGTACATTTTAGGGCTTAAACGACATAATCAAATTTTCTTACTTATCGATACGAATTATTTATTATAACTAATTAAAACAATTTTTTATTATTTAGATTTTACAAACTGTGTAGCTTCTTTGTTTAAATATTTATTTTATATTACTGTTATAACAAAATTGTTAAATGTTTTTTGAAAAAAAAACACTTAAAAATTATGAAATAAAAAGATAAAATTTTGACCATATATTATACAATCGGTTTGGTCTTAAAATACGCCTAATGGTCAATAGTATGCCTAGGTACAACATTCTGGCGAAAATCAATAATTACTTGCAATGTAAAATACAAAATTTTAATCTTAAATTCAAAAATCTAGTACACATAATACAAACATTTTAAAAACATTGGTATTTCTTGTTTACTCGATTGTTTTTACCTAATAACAACTTACTTATTTATGTATAATTCCCATCGGCACTTAGATTGTAAATTAATGAATTTACAATTTTTTTTTTACAGGACCATTTCTAACTTAAGTCGCTGAATTATTGTTCGTCAACAAAGCACATCGGTTATTTTTCTTATTCGTTTTAACTTCTGCATTTTTTTAATTTTGTTTTTTTTTTTTCTTTAGTTGTTATTGTGATAACTTTCTATCACAAGACAGACGACTATATATAATTTTCAATAATTAAATACTAATTTGACTTTAATTGTTTTTTTAATTTTATATATTAATTATAAATTTGTAAGAAATCACGTAAACTGTATTCGATTTCAACCAATGGAAAACACTGTTTACTAATTTGTTTCTTCGATTGTTATAGTTTATGATATGATACAAACTTTATCATACTATCTTTACTAGCCTTACGTTTTTACTATACCATTATTTTTCTTTGTTTATTATTATTTCAAAAGTCACGAATATTTAAGTATTATTATCCTATAAAATAGAACTAATTGTTGTTTATTGTAGTAATTTAATATACAATTTATAAATATGTAATTAAGAGTTTTTTAGTTATTTGTGTTGTCCAATTTGTGTCGTTTGACGACAAAATAAAACAAATCTACGTATACTTAAGCCAGATACGAACAAACTTTTGGAGCTACCACCCACGGAAATTTCGAAACTTACCCTGCGGCTCTGTTACGACGAAAAGAATGATCTTAATTTTTTTTTTCGATTATTTTGGCCATGGTCGTGGTTAAGTATTTTTAGTTTTTATTTTCTTTACTCTTCTTTTTTTTTATCGTATCTTCGATCAAAAACAATTATATAAAAATCTGTTTTCTTATGTAAAATAATCTCAGCTTTCTGAAAAAAAATATGAGTTTTTATCGAGTAACAGAAAGTCACGCAAATTGTTTTATTTTATTTTTTATCACAATTTAATATTTTAGTGATGTCGAGAAAAAATAAACTGGTAGTTTTTCCATAAGCAATAATTATTTCTCACGGTACGATGCAGACAATATAGGTCTACATGGGTCTGACCTTTAGCCGAGTGCCAAGAGATGTTGGATTAGTGTACGCCAACGCGACCGCTCTGGCGGCCACACGCTTGATTTGTTTTATTTTAAAAACAATAACAATATAATATATGAAACACCAATGTTATTATTGTTATGCGCTATTGTTTGGCTCTTTGGCTTTCAACAGGCTTATTCGCGGGTCCAGTAAAACATTTAGCACGGGTCACAGACAAACGGCGAATCCTACCCACGCTTATGACCGTAAATAAAACGCGCAACTCGTTATCTCAACATGTTTATGTATAGCATGCGACGTGCTAACCTGTTCAAATCTGCCGTCTACGTCGCAGGACCCTCCAAGTGCATTGTTCCGGTGCATTGCACTGGTGGCAAAGCGACACGGATATTTCATATTCTACTATAATATGAATTGCCGATTATATACATAGGTGTGATGAATTTTGCTTGTTTCGAACCCGGCAGAACCTATGACGGTGTAGCGATACCGCAAAAACGAGTAGGTTGTACTGTAAGGCATAAACCAACGCAATGGGGGTTCTCTGTGTCATGAAATCATATACACTACAAGCATGTCTTATACATATAAGCATGTCTGTATCCAGAACGTTTACAGTTAATATATATATGGGTAATATATGAAGGCCGATGTTTTTGTGTGGTCAAACATTGTAAGATTGTACGACCATTACATACAAATAGGAGGATTTCCAATAATAATGAAGAAAAATGTTAAAAATAGACGCTATATGATATGATGTCTGATAAAATAGTCGACCATCCGCATATAGCTCCTAATTACCGTGTTAATAAAATTACAATTAAGTTTAATTTTTAATTTTAATGTTGACAAAAATTGCATTAATACCAAACCACCCCTTGATGATTATAAAACGAGGTGTCCTACTAAAAATAAATATCAAACATTTATGTCATCTACATACCGCGTTTTGTATGTTTAGACACAAAAATCTGATCACCCTGATCCTATACGTCATTAATATAATCATAGTATAGGTTTTAAAGATGTATATATAATATATTGACTACATACGAATCAGAGCTCATGAGATTAGGAATAGCTGTTAAGATTTCTGAAAGTAAAAATTGTGATGCCAAAGATAAAATGGTTGTGACCAAACTAAGTTAACCGTTTTCCACTCATGAAGACGTTATATCCCTAATTTATTAAGGAGTTCAGTGTAGGCATTCTCGCCAAAATCTCATCGTCTTTCGATTTTATAATAGGTGTTTTTGTTTTGTTCTAAGACCGTCGTAGAATAAGTAAAACACATTCTGCGTAGACATAATTTTAACCAAGAGTATAACGTCCGGTAAATCGGGGGCAAAATATAAACAATATTTTACTTAAATTTTTCTAGAAAAATTTATTTCAACTATGTCAATTAGTTATAGGCTATACAATTGTTAATTTCTACTTATAATACTATTCATTTATTTTTTAACAAATTGCGGGGAATGCTATACAAAAATATATCCTGACTCGTAGAGTGGTCGGATTTTAATATTTTTTTTATTATCGGAGAATATTTTGTGGTCCGCTATGATCGCCGATTTTCAATAAATAGTTATTTCTAAGAAAATTAGTTTAAAAAACCCTAAATTTTATATGTTTAGAAGGATATTACAGTGTCAGATTTTTCAATTTTTATATAACAGCTAACAAAAACTTTATAGACAATAACTATAAATCTACTTAACGATACAAACAAATCATCCTAACCAGTCTAATCTACCATTCTACGAAGCATGTTTTGGAGTAAAATAACTCCCCCCACCTATCAATTAAAGCTATTTTTGCCATTATTTATTTTAATTATATTTTTTAAGCCGCCTCTAAGTTTATACAATATTTGAAAAGACCTATTTATAATCCTAACCTAACCTTTGATCTCCCGAGTAAATGTGAAATCTTGCATGTCTTCTGCGGTATTTTTTCTGTAGGTACGATACCTAAAGAAAATTATAACTTCAACATGGATACAAAATTATTCTTATAAGTATTATCTTAATTATAAGGTAATAAATGTATACATTTTCCTAACTACCACTGTTATCGCTTTATTTTGTTATAATGTAATTTCAATTTAACCTTTTAAAAGCATCCCTTAAAAAAAAAGTCTGGCAGATTATGATTTTTTATGAAAAATACCTGTGGAGAATAATAGCGCCCAATGATGAGTTGTATAATAATAATATGTATAAAACATGTCTACCGAGTACCGTCTACAGGAAATGCAGATAAGTAATCGTCAACAGTATGCATAAATTATGCTTAAGATTTTGCGTGGGACCGGGGACGATAACTGGAAAAATGGAAAAGTAAATTTATGAATCGAGACGTTCATTCTTATTTGTAAGAGAATTCTGAGTAAATAATAATCGTCGTTTGCCAACATTCGATACAACTACGCATTAAAATTATGGATCACAGTTTTTATTAGCTTTCAGCTCGTTTATTTAACTGCGTATAATATCTTTAACCAATTTTATTTTCCATTATGAATGAAATAATACAATGTTATCATATTATCGAAGACTGTGTACGACTTATACGCCCACAAGCTCGTTTTAATCATTCAACTACCACAATATTATGTTTTATTGCACTGTTTTATGTACAAACCTTTTCTTAGTTACTCGACAAAATATTATTACCATTGTGAACGAACTGCGCGCACTACATTATCAACTTATACCATCCTGTATAGATTTCATTACTATTATATAGGTTAATATGTTAAATTGTTAGATGTTTAAAGACAATAATTACATGATACCTACTGCAAAATATGTATTTAAGAGTTACAGGCAACTACATATTTTATTATCAACATTTAAGTACCAAGTTATAATCAATTACTTGTCTTCTTACTTTTTTTGGATCAGCTTACTTATACCAGGAAGGTTCAAAAAAGAAAAAAAAATATTACATATATTTATTATATGTATTCAGTATTTATAATAATAATATATGTATATTATTATTAGTTAGTATAATATATAAATCATAAAAAGTTTATTTTTACAAAAAAAAAAAAAGGTTCATGCAATAACAATATTTCTCAATAGTTTGTTGTCAATGTTTTTTTTATAAGTTTAAAATGTTTTTATTGTTAAAAAAAACAATGACACATATAATATGTACATTGTCCTACCTACATAACATAATATAGTAATGCGACGAATCAAAGCTCACGTCATGATCCAAAAACTACCTTATAGGATTTTTTATGCTGAAATTTGAATCCTAAAGTGTTATTATAGATATTTAAAAAACATATAAGAACATGATTATATGTATCTTTGAACGTAGTGGTTAGAATCAAAACTAAACAATTCCACTGAAACATGGTTCATATAAATTATTATCATTTATCAAACCACACATGTTCGGTGTTCCAAACTTCATTCTAAAAAAAATGTTTATCTTGTATATTTTGATGGCATATTTGAGTATTCCATCCAAATTACTTAAAAATAATATAGTATAGATTTGTTTTGTTTTTCAGAAAAACCTTTTTTTTTGCGTTTTCTGAAAAATGTGTTTTTTGGATCTTGTGGGTTTTGATTCTAGCCTAGTTACTTATAGTTTTTAAGGCGATCAGTTTAGGTAGTTTTTTACTATAACTTAATTTCGAGCTATTTAGTATTTCTACTTATTTGCTACTTTATTAGTAGTTAATTTGTTTATAAGACTCTCGCTTTCCCAGGACAGCATTCCCAAAAACTCAAATACAATTTTCTTAAGTTGATTTCATTTCTTAGATTTTTGAAAACCGGAGACTTAAACTGAGCTACCTCGAAGAATTATTTTATTCATTTTAATACTCAAGTCTTCACAAAATATTATTTTTCGGGTTTTTAACTTGGCGTGAGCCAAAACATATAATCTTAAAATTAAAAAAACTCGTAAGAGCCCATATAGTTTTTCTATTAATGTTAACATCGTTTTTACATTTTATACAATATTAGTATAAAATAACTTCAAAATTGTTTATAGAAATAGAATGCTAACCATAAATTATAGTAATAACTTGTTGTGTTAGTCATAAATGATACAATTCGTGGTAGTTAATATTTTTAAGAATTTGTAACGAAGTTGTTTTTTTTTATATTGAAGATGTTTTACTCACATATTAAAATATACATACAAGTTAGTAACCACTTTTATTGAGATAAATTAGTTTATCAAATGATTTATCTGCGTTTCGTTAAAAAAACATACAATAAACAGTAAATTGTAGCAATCGAATATTCAACTCTTATTCACTCTTACTAGGTAACATCATGTCAGCAAAAATAAATTTACAGAAGAATGCATGCAATACATGATACAACGTCACACGTCACATATCACAAAAATGTTATTTATAAAATAATGCCAT